CACCTTGAAAGCTGTTCTTTTTTCTGGTCCAAAACCAGGTTTAATCCTACGTGAAGGACAGGGACTTTTATGTTTAACATTATTTTAGAGGCCACAATAATTCCATGTGCCGTTCTCTTAAGGCCCATCTTATTAAATATCTACATGCTTCCCTCAACTTAGATTTTAGTAAACAATAACATCAGTTACCATAGCAATGCAGACGACACCCAGCTGTTCATCTCCATGTCACCAGGTGACTATGAACCCGTTACAGCTTCGGATAAATGCAGAGAAAAAAATCAGTGCATGAGTTACTAGATGCCATTCCTCCTAAAGGGGATAGAACATTAAAACGTTAAATGCTTTTTTGGGAAAAGTTAATTTATAAAATATTAATATCCATTGTAATTTATAATATATTTTGCAGTGATACTCATTTATTTCTTTTTTTAAATACCTTTTCTTATCACACCACCTTCAAAAATAAACCAGATGTTATGATTAAATAATTACTAATTACTATATTGGCCTTTCTATCAATTACTTTTCCTTTTCCCTCTTAAGCTGGAGGACTGTTATTTCTGTGTGGATAAAATATATCTCAATCACATGGCCCATCCTGCGTATGATGTTTAGTTTTTCTACCCACCTAGATGCAGAGATGCAGCAGCTCTACCCTGAACGTTGAGTCCAGGCACCTTATAGAAAAAGCAAATATACTGAAGACACCAAACAGCCATAACCCGCTCTGCAACTCCCCAGGAGTAAAGCTCAGGTCCACTGTGTCTGTCAGGATGAACGCATTACTGCCCCCCTTGACTCTGAGAGAGATCACACATTGATCGGATGGGAAGCCAGGCTTTAATTAGAAAAATTATGATTGTCTGTACCCCATTTAATGCCATAATATCTGACAGCAACATATTTATTATTTTCAAATAAATGTACCCACTGATTGATTGTTTTAATGTATAGAAAAAAAAGATCTAAAATTAAATCTATATGAACCACATTCAAGGTCTCATGAAGCAATTTTTTTTCACTTCAAGCCTCATGGTGTTAAAATGAAAAAAAAAAAAAACATTTTAAAATAAAGGTATAAAATAAAAGATATTTAAAAACATAAAGAAGTGAAAACTCCAAAATAGTAAAATAATTGCAAAGTCTATTTTATAAACAGAGTTTCTTATTTCTACATTCAGGATTTGTTTAGCTCAGACTAAATATAGCGACAGATTTAGTTCCATAAAGGCGGAAAACCTTTTTTAATATGCATATAGCCCTAAAAAAGGCCACAAATTGTATTCAATATTTCCCATCCTAGGAACTCAAATGATATTTCTATGTGAAATAAGCCTTGCAGCTTGTTCTTCGGCGCCCTTCCCCTTGATCCTGTTTTTTCATCTCCCTTGGGTAACAAGAAGCACCTGAACGGTAAACGAAGCCACAAAAAAACAAGAAAACTGTTTTTCTTCATGTCGACCCCAGTCAGTAGATGATTGTTGGTGAAGCACGACTTCATAAAAAACAGAATGATCACATCCATCATGGCGATTCGATTCAGTATCGATTTCCTGACCCAATGATTCGATTATTTTCGATACTCAAGAATACAGCACTGTACGATTCGATTAATTGGTTTATTTGTTTTTTTTTGTTGTGTTTTTTTTTTTTTTTTCACACCTTAACAGGCTAAACAATGTTTCAAATTTGAAATAAATCAATGAAAGCTGTAATGTCATTATGCATTTTATTTGAGACACAACAGCAAATAACAGAAGTAGAAAAGTTGCACTCCACCTATTCCTGTTAAAACCTCATTCACTGAAAAATACCAATGCACCTGCGTAATAGATTCTGAAAGGCTTTGCCTCACTTGGGTAACAAGAAGCACCTAAATGGTAAACGGGGCCACAAAAAAACGACAAAATTGTTAACTTTTTCTTCATGTTGACCCCAGTCAGTAGATGATTGTTGGTGAAGCACGACTTCATAATAAACAGAATACAGGCCTCACAGTGCCGTGAAGCAACGTGCATGTAATGTGGCTTTAGATACAAGTGAAATTTTATATCTTGGTAGTACAGAAATCTATGCACAATTGTTGGTGTAAAATTAGTTTAAGGTTTTTTCAATGTTTCAATTTTTTTCTCATTTATTGCAGCTATTTCCAATCATTATTATTGCTAATTTATTTTGATAGACAACAAACTGGGGACACCGCGCAGTATTTGTTAAGTTTCCTGTCTGATGAACTAATGCTAGGTTTGTCCAAACTCCTTTCTTTGGGTAGTGAAGGACTGCTCAGAGTGCTGCTGTTATATTCAGCTCTCATGGAGTTTGAGTTCTTTTGGAGCCAGGTCAGCATCCCAGCCGAGACAAGATTCCTCTGCTCTTCATTACCGATTAGAAACATGAATGTAGTTGCTCTGTATTAGACTAACAGGTTCCTTTTTTTCAATCAATAAACAGGCTACAAGCTGTAAAATGTGGAGGGTGAAGGAGCATGGGGAGCATGGAGGTATGTGCTGAATGCTGGAAAGGGTCCCTTTAAGGGGTAATATTTAAAAGTGAAGGAACTGATATGAACTGGAACTTTGCAGTTTTAAAATATTTGTTTTCATAAAGAGACAAAAGCGACAAACCAGAAATAGAATTAATGTTGGAAATGGGGGTGCATGATGGCGCAGTGGATAGCACTGTTGATTTGCAGCAAGAAGGTTCTGAGTTCGATTCCTATCTCTGTATGGAGTTTGCATGTTCTACCTGTGCATGCATGGGTTCTCTCTGGGTACTCTGCCTTCCTCCCACAGCCCAAAAACATGTCTGTTAGGTTATTGGCTTCTCTAAATTTTAGATGTGATTGTGTGCGTGGTTGTGTGTCTCTGTGTTGCCCTGCGACAGACTGGAAGCCTGTCCAGGGTGGACCCCGCCTCTCATTCATAGAGTGACACAGATGGGCACCGGCCCCACCGGAGAGAAATTTAGATGGATAGAATATGATATACTGGAGAAAATCAGTTCAATTCAGCTTATCTAAAGAGTACTAATGGGGAGTTGTGGCCTAGTGGTTAGAGCAGTGCGCTTGTGCTCTGAGAAGGTTGCAAATACCCGGGTCAGTCCCCACAGCCTGCACTCTGGGTTCCTGTGCAAGGATTGGTTAAATGCAGAGAGTGAATTTCTCCACTGTGGGACAATAAAGTTAAATTATAAAATTATAAAATATGGTGACAGTGGAGAGGAAAAGTCATCTTTAACTGAGGGAAACATCCAGCAACAACCGGAACCAGGCTGTGTGAACAGTTATCTGAGTCCACTGACTGCTGGTTTAGAAGGACGGAACAGCCATAGATCCAAGAGTATTTTATATGCAAGTAGAGTTAATAGCTGTAGTAGCTCCTGTAGATGCTTCTTCTTGGAGAGAAGAAAGCAAAAAGATTAACTTTAAGCCTGTATTGAATTCTTGAAGATAAAAATAGGGAATAAAATCAGTGACAGTAAAAGCACAGGCAATAGATTTTTTCTAGGAAATAGACAGATGAGCCCCCACTGAAAGATGGGGCTCATCTAGAGAAGGAGAACGTGAAACTGTTTGCAGCTAAAGCCTAGCTGATGTCCACCACTCCAGGACTATGTCACGTAGAAAACTAGCCCAGATTTAATCAACTATACAGAGAGAAAAAACATTAAGTTAAAACCTGTAATAACAACAAAACCGTACAAAATTGGAGTGTACTGGGAGAAAGTAACAGAGTGAGGAAAAGGGGTCCTCCTGCAGCCTAAGCTTATAGCAGCATTACTACATCTTCAAATTCTACATTCCAATTCTTTTTTATAGGAAAAGGTTTTTATGGCTTCTCTTTATTTGCAACTGTCACACCTACATTTCCTTCCTTGTGAGACAAAAAAGCATTCCTTATCTTACCTTCGTAAGTCAATCACTTATTAAATTGAGTAATAAAATTGAATTTACTTTTCAACTCTAATTAAGCTTAGCAGTTCTATTGTCATCTTCAAAAAAGTACAGAAAATGTAGGATAACTAAGTAAATCAAATGTTTTTAAAACCTGTTTATAAAAGACTTAATCTAATCAAATGAGTTTATAGCAGAATCTTGATCAGTTACTCATGAAAAAATGTTCAAATTATGAACTAGGGGTGTGGGAAAAAATCGATTTGCCGATATATCATGATTTTGGACAACCCAATAAAATATCGATTTTTCAGTTCCTATTTTTTTTAAAAACGAAACATTATTACCTAAAACAATGAAGAAAACTGGGCTACATTTGCACCGTCAGCCTGGCGCTGTGCGGCGCAGCGCATTATCTGTGGTTGCGGCGGTCACAGTGGAAGACGTGGAATGACTTAAACCCCAAACCTAAATCATCAATATCTTCAGAAAAACATATACAGCAATTTCTTTTTTACCTATACATTTAATGTGATAGCTGGGAAAAATATTGCAATATATATTGATATCGTGATAATATTGTGTTGTGACCCACATATCGTGACACATATCATATCACTGAACCTATGCTTATACTCACCTCTATTATGAACAAGAGTGTGCTATACATTCCACATGAAATTTACGTCTTAAAAGCTGTGTTATAAAAATTTGTGGAAATTTTAAATTCATTTTCTGGACAACCTTCGTCAAATAAGTTTGAAATGGTACATTTACATGGTAGGTGAATTAAAATGGAAACACGGCTACATACTCACAGTATGCAATGTGCCTTGGAACAAAAGAAACAATAAATGATCATAACATTATATGGATTTTTTTTTGTTTTCGGTAAAATCTTATAACATTGAGTTGCTGATTTTCGAATGGGTGTTTATAAGTAATATTTGAAAAAAGTGTAAATTTTATTTGAGCAGTCTTTTTATTACTGTTACGGTAACTTTTTCTAATCTCTTATTACCAACGTTTCAAGGGATGGTAAGATATTGGTATCTTGCCTCCACTTAGAAGAAACCGACTACGGCAGCCGAGAAGGGCCAGTTCGGTTAAAAGGGTTTGGTCTGTCTCCCAGCGCTGAGCTGTGCTGCTGCGGAGCTGGTGACCATGGCTGAGCCGGAGTCTCTGAGGTGCTCCAGCGTCAGGAACCGTGGAGGCGTTCAGAGAGTCGAAGGGAAACTTCGAGCAAGCGTGGAAAAGGGGGACTACTATGAAGCTCACCAGATGTACAGAACTTTATTTTTTAGGTGGGTATGGCCGCTGTGTTCGCTTCTAGCTTCACTTTGTAATTTCCATTCGGCTTCGAGGCCTACCTGTTCCAGATCATTCTGCTGTCAACTCTTCTTTCACTGCTGTTCACACGCGATTGGCTGCTTGTCTTACCTGACCCGCCTACTCTTGATAGGCGCTGCACATGATTGGTCAGTTGACCTTTCGTTCTTTAGAAAGTCTATGGCTATTGGCTGGTTACCGTTTTAGCAGAGGCAGTGTGTGAGAGCTGATGATAGCAGAGTTGTTAGCCAAGCTACTGAGATAGGCAAATGAGACAGCTGTTTCTTCGTCACAGTTGAATTAATGTACAAAAAATAAACGTATAATAGCTAAATGTTTAATTGCCATCACACAAAGGTGGTTTGTTTACGGTGGGCTGTTGTGACAGGATTTAGCTATGTTGGGTAGCATGTTATTAAGCATGATCGGTAGACATGCCTATGTAGCCTGCAGTCATATTTATCTGCTGCTGTAGCTGTCTGATTTAATCTGGAAGTGTTTAATAACATTCTCTCATCCAAAAATACAAACATCTAAAGATAAAATTACGTTAGTGAGTTTGTCCAATAAGATTTATTCAAGTACAATATGTGAAATAGGCTGGATGATAAAGAACTGATCTATTTTTTCTCATGCACAGAATTTTGAATTGACGTGCTACTGTAATGTGCTTTTTGAAAATATAGTTTCAGTCCAATATTATTATCAGAGAACAGAGTAAATGTCTAATATTCCATTTTTCCCTCCATCAGGTATATGTCACAGGGAAAACATGCTGAAGCCAGAGAGCTGATGTACAATGGGGCTCTTCTCTTCTTCAGTTATAACCAGGTACATAAGACGATGAATGTGGCAGGAGCATTGTTTCATACTGGAACATTTGAAAATAATAGAAAATCTCATTTAAACTTCTCTTTATTGCCTTTTTATATAATTTATTCAACAAGACCTTATTTGTTTGGAAAGTAATGCCTGAAAAATCAGCTGAGCATAAACATGTAGAATTTGATAAATGCTGGCGCTCTTTTGTTAGTTATATGGCCAGTAAGTTTGTGTAAAATATGAGAGGGAAATAATACAGAGAACAACCCTCTAAATTATGTCAAGTATAGTGGAGGATCAGTGATGCTCTGGGCCTAGTTAGTTGCATGACATCCCAAGCTCCCTTAAAAAGGAGGAGTGCTTTATTTGGTACTATTGTGTTATTTTCAAGCAAACTGAAACATCTGGCAGAATGAACACAGAGACAGTTAATCGGAGAAAAAAAAAGGGGGGGGGGGGGGCTAGGACTCTGACCAACCCAGAGATGATTCAGAGAAAGACTCAAACATCCATCAGTCTGCTACAGAAAAAGATGAGCTATTTTTAGTTATTCTCTGCAGACTGATAACGTTGCCAGAATTTTCTGTGCGTAAATTGTCACATGTTTTTTGCCTGTGTCGCTTTATGACAGATTAATGCTTATTTTTACAAACCTCTCTGTGAAAATGGACAAAATGGCCTTTTTATGTTTTTTTTGTTTTATTTTTTAGCAAAACAGTGCAGCAGATCTCTCCATGCTGGTGCTGGAGGTTTTGGAGAAGTCCGATACTAAGGTAGAAGATGAAATATTAGGTGAGTTTCAGTCTGATGATGCACCGGCTGATATTATTTATTTTTAAAGCTGTCTGCATTTATCTATTTTTATACTTGCTGTTTTTTCTTTGTGCGACTGAGAGATAACCGGCCCACTGAATCGAGCAAGTCAGGGGTTGGCTGACAAATAATATCATCATCTCAAAGAAAATGAAATATCACTGCTGCAGATGGATCATTTTAACTGCATGTTTATTATGTATATGATGCTTTTCTGCAAACCAGGATGAGAAATGTTTAATTTAGGTCCATCATCACATTTCTGATTTACATAAATGGCACTATAAAGGAATTAATCTGGAATAATAAAAGGTTCTGTTCTGTTTCTGTCTGGAGCAGAACATCTGGCCAAGCTGTTCAGCCTGATGGACCCAAACTCCCCAGAGAGGGTGGCTTTTGTTTCCAGAGCCCTGAAATGGTCCACTGGAGGATCCGGCAAGTTAGGTCACCCAAAACTCCACCAGCTGCTCGCTGTCATCTTATGGAAAGGTAAGCGGCTCGTTTTCTTCAGTCACTGTGGGGATTTCTCTGCTCAGACCTTATTAGCTGCTGTCTGGTACAAGAGAGAAGCAGCTAAACTCTGATGTGCAAAAGAGAGAAGCAGCGTGCTGTTTAAGGCAAGTTTCAGTCTATTTATGGAAACAATGAAAGGGAAGTTTTTTAAAAGCATCAGAAATTAATGGGATTGTTCTGAATTGAAGGCTTTGAAAAAGAACAAGAACTTTGACAAACATGGATGTCCAGTAAAGCACATTTAAATGAAAATTACTCTTAATAAAAAAACTCTGATCAGTTATTGAACAGTATGTAATTGTTTCATATTTGAAGTACTTTCAGAAGTTTAAATTGTGAATATGAGGGGACTTTTTCTTTAAGAACAATTTGATAAACTAAAGAAATGTTATGAAGGCTTATTTTGATAAATCTTTTTTTATTTCTGAGCGGCCTTTCAATAGACTGGCTTATTTTTGTATTTAAGTATTTTTGCTCAGGAGGAAAATCAAAGGTTAGCGTTAGATTTTAGATCAGAACCCTTCAAACTGAAACACCTGGTTTGATATATTAGTTTAAATTCATTAAAACTATTGATTAAATGTATTTGAAATGATGATTGGACTCTATAATCTGTTGGTCGACTTAACGGAGGCTGATCAAATGTGCTCCTGGCTCTGATGATGTGCAGTTTTATCATGACGAGGATAGGGTTGTCAAAAGTATCGATGCTCAAAAAAGTATCGATACTGAAACGTTGTATCTGGATACAATACTCATTTTCAAAAGTATTGATACAGCCATCTAAAGTGCAGAATAGTGGAAAATGCACTTTCTGACCACTGTGATTGAATAATTCTGTGCACTTTTCAGACTTTTTCTGTAACAGGTGCAGCTGCTGAGAATGATTTTTGTTTAACTGGTTTGGCTAGTGTCATTGTTATGTGTGCAAAGCATAGCCAAGGAAGGAACACTTAATTTTAATTTTGTACGTTTCTTATCAAGCTTGCTTAATATTGTGCACTGCATACAACCTCAAAATATTCTAATTGTTTTTTTATTTATTTCTTGTATTTTTTTAGTAATGAAAATATTTCTGTTGAATTTTAGAGTCTTTGTTTTTATTCTTGTGGTATCGAAAAGGGTATCGAGTATCGGATATTTTACTTAGTATCGGTATCGAGTTGAAAAGTTTAGTATCGTGACAACCCTAGTTGAGGATGATGATGTCACAACTGTTAAAATGACGTCTGCTAAGTAGTCTATTTTATAAATGGAGTTTCTTATTTCTACATTCAGCATTTGTTTAGCTCTAATTAAATAAAGTGACAGATTTAGTTCCATAATGGCTTAAAACTGTTTTTAATATGCATATAGCCCTAAAAAGTTCCACAAATTGTATTTAGAGTCAATATTCCCTATCCTAGGAACTCGAATTATATTTCTATGTGAAATAAACCTTGCGGCTTGTTCTTGCACGCCCCTCCCCTTGGTCCTGTTTTCCATCTCCCTTGGGTAACAAGAAGCACCTGAACGGTAAACGAAGCCACAAAAAAACAAGAAAACTGTTTTTCTTCATGTCGACCCCAGTCAGTAGATGATTGTTGGTGAAGCACGACTTCATAAAAAACAGAATGATCACATCCATCATGGCGATTCGATTCAGTATCGATTTCCTGACCCAATGATTCGATTATTTTCGATACTCAAGAATACAGCACTGTACGATTCGATTAATTGGTTTATTTGTTTTTTTTTTTTTTAACACCTTAACAGGCTAAACAATGTTTCAAATTTGAAATAAATCAATGAAAGCTGTAATGTCATTATGCATTTTATTTGAGACACAACAGCAAATAACAGAAGTAGAAAAGTTGCACTCCACCTATTCCTGTTAAAACCTCATTCACTGAAAAATACCAATGCACCTGCGTAATAGATTCTGAAAGGCTTTGCATCAAAAATTGCTGCACATAATCAGTGCAATGCAATACCTCGGCTCCAGACGTCCCCGCCCCCTTGAGAGACGCTCCGCTGCTCCTCTCCCAAATTGTTGCTGACCGCAAACAGTGCAGCAGACAGGAGGCCGGCTTGTTTTGTTTTTATGACCGAAATCAGCGGAAAATAACTCATGAAGTTTGACCCGATAGAAATGCGAGGTACGCGAAAACGCTGGGACCATTTTATCCACCTGGATCTCCGCCCTTTTTGGCCCTCATGTCCCTCCGTCATTGGACTAAACTCGCCCGGACTTCCTCTCCGCCTCTGCCGTATCTAGACCCACAGCGTGTAGCACAGACCACGCTTCAATATTGAGCATAATTTAAAAATGTCTGCATCAAGCTCACTGCAACACACTGCTGTAAGAGTATAACCAGGAAGCGAGGTAGGAGGGCAAAATAGGTTTAGCGCCACCGCAGCACGGGAGGAGAATTACGCCCAGGAGCAAATCGATAAAAATAGACCAGGAGAAAAAAAAAACATGATTCGATTATCTTGCGGACGTATTAATGCATCGGATCTTTGGCTGTTGGATCGATACAAAACGATTATTATTTACACCCCTGAAACCGAATACAGGCCTCAAAGTGCCGTGAAGCAACGTGCATGTAATTTGGCTTTAGACAAAGAAAGTGAAATAAGTTCAACAGTTAAGACATGCAAAGTTAAAATAAAGACTGGCCCTCTTAAAGCTCAGTATAAACTTCTAGTCTGACCAAAGGTCCAAATATTAGCAGATTACAAGATCCCAGCAACCAAACAGGAAGAAAAGCCACAACACACAATACTACATAAAATGGAAAATTAAAAAGGATTCTTTTGTGCATACAAAAAAAAAAAAATGCGGAATGAATAAAGAAATCTAAAATTACAAAAACAAAAGTGGAAATAATGTCCAAATATTAAAGCATTATTAGAACACATCAAAACTATCAGCATTGATCTTTACCTGCTGGGAATTTTAAAGAAGCACAAAAAGTTGGAAAATTGAGAACATTGCCAAGTTGAAGCCTGTAAAACCTCTGAACATCACATGATTGGTATTAGAGCATCTAAAAAACAAGTCAATAACGTCATAATGTGATTTCATCTGCGATTACATCTCTTGTTTCTCTTATATGGGATTGTTTATTTTTAAACGACGAGGCCGACGTCGTCGGTTTCACAGCTGATTTATTGAACGTTTTAATTGGTGTGTGGGGAGACGCTGACATGCAGAGTTTACAGCATTCTTAAGTTTGCAGCAGATTACTTTTTAGGTGATGGCTACCTTTTGCAGCAATGGTTTTTGGTCTTACAAATTAGCGCCTTTTGCTCGACGTCCTCGGCGTGAAATCCAAACCACTATCATATATTCCTGCACTGAAACACCTGCTGTCGCCATATTTCGTTTGCCGGTTGCTGTAGTGGGCCAAAATATAATCCTCTTTGGAGGAGGGGTTTATGATGCTTTCAAAATCTGTGGGAAAATTCAAACTCTCAGTGAAATAGATGCAGCCAGCTTAGCTTTGTCATGCAAATTTATACTCGATGGCTGCGATACAGTCATTTTAGGATTCAAAAGAATGTATCATCTGCTTAAACTTTAGCTATAGAAAGGATTGAGAATAAAACTCCTAAAATGTTGTATTTTTCTCTGCTTTATGTTTTTAGAGCAAAACTACAGCGAGTCTCGGTATCATTTCCTTCATTCATCCGACGGGGAGGGCTGCGCTCAGATGCTGGTGGAGTATTCATCGTCGCGAGGCTACCGCAGCGAGGTCGACATGTTTGTGGCGCAGGCCGTCCTTCAGTAAGTGAACGGAGACAGCTGCGCTGTGGAGGAGAGGCTTCCTTTGTGTTTGTCTTCAGCTGAAGGATTTTCTTATTTTTTTTACCTCTGACCTCCATGTGTTTTTTTTTTTTTAATCATTCCTCTGTTTGATTTTCTTCATCCCTGATTCTTTCCTCCCTGTCCCTCTTCGCTGCAGGTTCCTCTGCTTAAAGAACAAAAACAGCGCTTCCGTGGTGTTCAGCACATACACAGAGAAACACCCGTCCATAGAGAGGGGCCCCCCCTTCGTCCAGCCTCTACTAAACTTTATCTGGTTTCTGCTGCTGGCAGTGGAAGGGTGAGACAAAACTGCTGATTATCGAGCCTTTTGACAGTAAATAAAAACATTCACGTCCAGTAATTAGAGTTTTTTTGTCCTTTTTAGGGGTAAATTAACAGTTTTCACAGTGTTATGCGAGCAATATCAACCTTCCCTGAAGAGGGATCCCATGTATAATGAGGTGAGCAACACTTTGAACTGCTACGTTAAACCTGAGTTTGTTTTATTGTTGATCTGATCTGATTTCTGCTGACTTCACAGTATCTGGACAGAATAGGACAGCTTTTCTTTGGGGTCCCGCCCAAACAGTCTCCTTCGTGCGGTGGCCTGCTGGGTGAGTTCAACAGAGTATCTGCCTTTGATTAAAAAGCTACTTTAACAGGCACAACATTTCAGGATTTAGTTCAAATATATTTAGATTAAAAAACTAAATGTTTCTTTGGAATAAAATGACCGACCAGATTAAAAATATGTCTTGTAAAGGATATAATTTCAATATTTTGATAGCGGTTAGCCAGAGCAATTAGCAATTTAAGGTTTAACTACGTCGTGTTGATGCAGGGGGCTCATGTCCACCCAGGTCGCATAACTCTCCCTCAGTCGGATCACGCTTTCCTTCCCATCCCGCTGAATCTGATCGGAATGTTCTGACCACGCCCGCCGAGGGGGGGGGGGGGGGGGGGGGTCGAACGGGCCAATTGTGCCAGGATGGGGTGGGGGCTCAAGATTTACACTCTGACCATTAAAAATTCAGGCATAAGTAATTTGCTGCAACGGTTTATTACCGTGAATTGTTTCCTCGTAAACGTTGCCACTAATTCTTTCACAGTCGTATTTTTTTTTCAATATTTAGAAATAAGATTTAGTTTCATAACTTAATCTTAAAGTAAAGCTGAATTTGAAAGTTAGAATCCTGACAAGCATCTGGTTGATAATGAAATGGGAGGAAGAAGATCCACGTTATTAAAACATTTAATCGGGTTCCTCACCTCTAAAACAGTCAGTACGATTTCTCACCTGGAAATAAGCAAATAATCAAAGGTTCGGAGTGAATTTCTTTTCAGGGGGCTGCAACAGTTAATCTGATGACTCGATTATTGAAATAATCATCAACTAATTTAGTAATCGAGTAGTCGTTAACGGGAGTATAGAGAATAAAACCTTGAGCTGACAGAGCGACCCGCTTATACCCCTTTCCCACTGGCTGAAAAAACAGTTTTTCAGCCAGTGGGAAAGGGATGGCAGTGGGAATACTCACCAAAATCTCAGCTCTGATTGGCATGCTGTGGGAACACCAAACCCAGGTTGACCCGCTAAATTACGGACATCAACGCCACTTGCTTCTGATCTAACAAGCGGAAACAATTTGTTTACATTTGATAAACATGGAGCAGCTCTGGTGAGAGGAATTCAGACAGATAATAGAGAGAAACAATAAAGAACACTGACTACGAACTGGCTGCCTTACATGTTGCTCTCCATTGTTTACTTTTCTGATTTCAGTCGCACTGGTGACGCCATCAACGCTAAACCAGCATGATGTCACCAGACATGAGGGGTTAGACCAGCTTTTGTTGCCAGTGGGAAGAGAGCCTAATGCTAATTGTTAGCGGGTCGACTCTTCTTTGAAAAACACTAGTTATCCTTTTATTTTCAGTGGGATGAGGCTTCCCACTGGCCAAAAAATCCATTTAAACCCAGGAACAATCATCTTTTAGTGGCAGTGATAACAGCTCACTGACGCGCGTCTACCCGGGTCAAACGACTCGGCAAGCAACCCGTGTTAAAATCTCCTCGACTTTGATCGGCATGCTGTGGGGACACCAGAACCGGGTCGACCCGCTAATTTACGTGACAACATATTGACGCGCCAGTCGCTTCTGATCTAACAAGCAACAACAACACTGTTGACATTCAGTAAACATGGAGCAGCTCTGGTTAGAGGGATTCAGAAAGATAATAGAGATAAACAATAAAGAACAAGGACTACACCCTGGCTTCCTTCCATGTTGCTCTCCATTGTTTACAACCCGGATTTCTGACATCATCAATGCTAACCCAACATGATGATGTCACAAGAGATGCAGCCATGAGAGACAGAGGCTGCGCAGCTGCCAGCTAAGTGTTGTTTGCGATGAATGTTAGCGGATTTTCATTGGGAAAGAGGCTTTAGAGCAGTAATTATACCAAAATTGTAAAAATTTATATAAATAGTTAGCATTTAAGATAAAACTTTTCTATCTGTCAATCTCTTCTATCCAGAGCTCTAGATGTAGAAAAGTTTTAGTTTCACTTTGTGTAATTTTGTTAAAAATCATCTTTAAGGAAACTTTTTCTATCTGATTATTAATTAATCAATCACAAAAATAATCAACAGATGAATCGATTAGCTAATTAATGTTAGTTGCATCTCTAGTGGGCCGATTAGGTCTCAGCTCACACAGATAAAGTTCTCAGGTCTTAGCCATAAACTACCGTAATCAAAATCTCAGAAAAAGCAATCGAGTGAAATCTTAACCAAACATTCTTCCCTAAATGATCCAAAGCTTTATTTTGGGTTTGAACAATGATGACGTCGCTGTTTCCTTCCCTACTCCTCCTTAGAGTCCTTCACATAAGGCTGAATGTGTCCTTCATTAAAGGATAGTTTTGGATAAAATCAACTTTTTTAGGCGACAGTGAAGCTTTAACCTCAAATATTTTCTCTTTTTCTGGAGATAAGTTCATGTCTAAAACCTGAGAACTAAGCTGAGGACATTTCTTTATTCCTGAGGATGTCTTAAAATGTGTAGCAGCTTCCCTGATGGAGTCAGAACACGGTGAGAAAAGGCCCATAGTTTACAGCTGCCTGGTCGCCTGTTTTCATCAGACGCAGCCGCTCTCCATCTAATGGTCACGGTCTTCTGGAATAAAACGTTGCACTGGATTACATTTAACTCTTTATGATCTAAAATCTCAAAGAAATGCTTGAAGGTCATGAAGGAATCAACATTTACGTCTTTAAGCTCAGCCAGCAGATGGAGGAGTTTGTTTCCTGTAAAAACATTTCTGTTGGTCCTGTCAAGCTAAAGTAAACACAGGGAGGTCGACTGAGCCAGAATCAATAAAGGGACCTCCTATTTCGTTCCCTCAGTGCTGATAAAGTTAAAGCAAACAAAAACTGACCTTTTATGATTTCTATAAAAACCTTCAGAAAAACATCAGTCGTTCTGTGGGAAAAAGCCCAAACACAAAGGTACCCAGTCCAAGTCAAACAGAGGAGTGTCCAGATTTACTGGTTAAACCCAGAAAGGAAACCTTTAAACCTGAACACCAAACATGTCACTATGGTTTACGAACGAGGACACGGAATAAAGAGAAGTGGAAGGTCGGGAGTCTGAGAACGGCTGCATGTCGGTGGGGATTTGGAGGAAGTGTTGGGTCGGAAAAGCTGCAATGAGATTGTTTTTTTGTTTTAGGGAATACATTTAAGTTTTTTACAAATAACTGCCTGATAGAGATGTCCATGCGGAGCACTAGACATTTCCCCCCGTCAGTCATTTTAAAAAAGGCCCATTTACACTACCCTTTTGAAACCATGCCGAGGTCGGTCTGAGCACACTAACCCAGATAACTGTTGAGTGTAAATGGCACGCACAACTGAACCAGAGGGCGCCAGACACAACCGAACCGCGCCAAACTGGTTCTGGCTCAGTTCTCAGATAAATAGCGCATTAGCAGACTGCTTCATCTCCTTACAGTCAGCCTCCGTGATCACGAAATTTCAAACATTCATAAAAATACCAGCTTCCCTTCCGTGCCTCCTGGTCTCCTGCTTAGGAATGGGGAGTCGTTTTGGGTTCTTTGTCAGCCTGCAATACCCGATACTGGGCTATGTCTCTGAAAGGGGGGTCGTTAGGGGTAATTGTTGTCTTGGCTTCCCAGGCTAGATGTTTTGTTCCCTGCATGGGGGGGACAAAACAGGCTGTTTTTTCTCTCTTAGCATAAATGGTTTCCTCCACACCCCTTTCAAACCACCCGTCTTCTTTGTCTAAAATGTGAAGGCAGGTGGTTGACTGAATGAATGAGAATCTTTACCAGTATACTTCTTAACCTGTGTAGCAAGGCTAGAGCGCCATCCACTGGTGTAACAACAGTATTACTACAGGTTTGACTCATCCTCTGAGGTCAGGCGGTTTCTCTTTTGCTTTCTTCCCAATTCATCATTGTGTGGGTGTGGCCTAAATCAGGGGAAAGCATGAAAGCAACTTTAATTATCTCCATTTTTCTTGTGAATCTAAAAATGAGCAGACTGTCTGATTGTTGATAAATGTTCTGCTATCAGCTGGAATCCTGATCAGTTCTTTGCACCCTGTAGGAAATCTGCTGAACAGCCTGATGGGTTCTGGGGAAGAAGACGACGGCGCCGAAGAGGCCCATGAGGACAGCAGCCCCATAGAACTGGACTGAGTCCCAACAACGTTACGAGAAGAACAAACACTCAGAGGAGGGAAACAAAAAGAAAAAAAATAAGAGGGAAGACCATCCCGCCTCCCTGCTGGTCCAGCAGGGTACGGGCGAGGCGCTGCTCCACGTTTTAACAGGCGGATCCTTATTTGTTTGTTTTATTTTTGAGATAAAAAGTCTCATCATCCAAACAGTTCATTTCCAAACCAGAACCAAAAGAGCATCATTCCACCAAAACGCCGCTGTCAGCTCTGTCTGGACTGAACAAGCCAAACTGCAACCTCTCCTGCTGTGGAACTGAAAACATCTTTTCTCTTTTCATTGTTGTGGGTAGTTTGGGACTCCTGCTTGCTGTTTCACTTCGTTCCATCATCAGAGGACGCCCTGCTGCGAGGAGACGGGAGGATCGGCGTCCGCCTGGGCGGCGATGGCTCAGCGTCGGGGTTTAGTGAGCTCACTACAGCGTTCAAAGGGTTCAGTCGGTCGGCCAAGATGGAGCCGCTGATGACTTTCTTTTCAACAACTATTCTGTTACGTCTCTTCTGTAAGATGTAAATTAAAACGCACTTATAGTCTCTGCTTTGTGTCGCCGTTTGGTCTGTTTGAATGGAGCTACGGAGGGAATTTTATTCTATTGTTGCAAGCAAAGATCATGTTTTGTAAACAGAAATAAAAACCATGTAATCCAGAAATAAAACTTTCAGATGAGGAAAAAGAATTTTATTTTTTATATTCAATTCTTTTTCATTTAATTAAGTATTAATTTCTGTTTTTTTTTGTTTTTTTTTTTATTAAACCTGTCCCTTACTTGCAGCATTAATAGAACAAACTTCCCTCCATAGAGTGATGATACACCTTGAATGCATCTTTAGTTGAAGTAACCATTATTTAATTTACATCTAACTTTTTTTTTAATGAATCAGCTGAGCCTCATACCATCAACTTTTCTGAAACTCTATTTAAAGGAGTGCTGGAATTAAATGACTCCAGGATCAAAATAAAACACTAAAAATATGAATTAGTCATGAACTTGTGTTTTTTTTTTTTTTTAATGGTTCAGATCAGGTAAGGTTGGTGAGAAGAGATGGAAAAGAAGTTCTGCACCGAAGGAATAACCAACATCAATCACCATCTAGCTGTTCGCTCTGAGACGCTGTAGCTACCAGATCTGCTTCCTGCCAGTGACGTTACGCTACATGATTGGCTGAACTACGCCACATGATGTATAACATAGTGGTTGCCCAGACAACGATAACGCCACACATCTTCAGTGTTAGCGTGTCTAATGACAGTGAAAATAACTTTCTGGTGCTGTTGATCAAGTCCCAGTGCTGTATCTGGTGTTTGTCACAACGCGCTATTATCCAAGTCATCTTGAAAACATTCTTCTTCCAAATGTTGGCTACATATTGTGTGTTTTTTCTCTGGCCAGAAGTTCGATGGCAAATCCTCCCTCTTCAAGTTGGCGATCCAACGACCAACCCGTCCGTGGAGGATCAGGAATCAGAAAGGTGAAATAACTCTTTTTTTCCACTTTAATTTCAATGGTGAAGTCCTCTGGAAATCTTCAATAATTGTTGTTGATTGCAGATGTGTCTAGTAGTTCCCATTGATTTTGCTTGTAAAGCGGGGAGAATGGCGCTAGGCTTACCGCACCGTGACGTCACTGCTGGAAGATAGCAGGAGGGAGGGGTTACTATATTTGGGGAAAAATGGCCGCTCCCAGACTCAGTGATGGCGACAAAAAGGATTTTTTAATTTTTTTTTACTGATTAACACTAAATTTATTAAATTACTGCAAACATATTAGTTTTAGGTATAAATAATGATCCATTGGTTATTCCTTGCTGACCGGACTTTTCCTTTAAATACAGCTTTAATGGCATTGGAAATTGATTATTAAATAATTTATTGTAATTAATACCCGAATCATGTCTTAAATGAACATTTGCTTATTTCTTGCTGTATTTTGGCCTTCCATACATCAGTTATGACATCTGATGACCCCTGACCCCCTCGTTGGGAGCCCCTGATCAAGGAAAAAAATGTAAAATTCTTTAAAACAATTGCAGGGAAGCGTTGCTCACCAACAGCATGGTACCGTCACCACCGTGTCTCAGTGGGGACTGTAGTCTTGTGTTCAGCTCTAAGAGGGATCTGAATTTAAATTAACTAAAAAAAACTTCCAGCTTCAGAAAATTTGTTTTTTTTAGTCCAAATTAATGATCAAACTCTAATTTAATAAAACAAATGCAGATTCATCATGTTGATGTTAGTAGTTTAATCTATTTTATTTACATTAGTGACATCATTGATCATGTTTTCCCAGCAGAGCTTTCAGGTGCGGGACTGCAGGGCGAGCCTCTGGACGGTGTCTGACAGGTGGGCCATGGCGGGCAGCTGAGCCTGATGTTTGATGGACTCCAGAGTCCGAACCTGGAGGAGGAAGAGGAGCCCAAATAAGAAACGACTGAAAGAGCAGAAATACTGAAAAAAAACGTGAACTCACAGCAATCCGAGTGTCGCAGTGTCCGTGTTTGTGGCTCAGGTTCCACAGGTTGATGGACAGCTGGCTCAGCTTGTTGTTCCTCAGGTCGCCGTGGGCGACAAGGACGCCGAAGAGGGAGAAGGCCAGGGCGCTTTGACGCCGCGTGCTCTGCTGGGGGGGGCAGGAGGGGATTGGTCAGACCTCCAACCGGTAGGCAGATAAATAAAAAACTTCTACAGGAATATTTAATCTGAGCGAAATAGTAAAATAATGACTGTATATATACACATATATATATATATATATACATACATATATATATATATACACATATATACACATATATATACATATATATACATATATATATATATACACATATATACATACATATATACACATATATATACATATATATACATATATATATATATACACATATATACATACATATATACACATATATATATACATATATATATATACATATATACACATATATATACATACATATATACATACATATATACACATATATATACATATATACACATATATATACATACATATATACACATATATATACATATATATGTATATATATATACATATATATACATACATATATACACATTATATATATATGTATATATATATATATGTGTATATATATACATATATATGTATATATATACACATATATATACATATATATGTATATATATATACATATATATACATACATATATACACATTATATATATATGTATATATATATATATGTGTATATATATACATATATATGTATATATATACACATATATATACATATATATATATATACATATATATATATATATACATACATATATATATATATATACACAATCATTTAATTTATATTTAATTTTATATTTTACAAATGTAATGGTGCAGCTTTTTTTATTTAAGTCCACTTTTTTATATTTGTCAGTTTTATTTCACAATAATTTTGTCTTCTTTATAGAGGGAATGGATGAAGGCTAAATGTACGGCGACACTTTTACATCAAGTTTCCTACATGAAAAAGGTTTCACTCAAAAGCTTCTTCTGATGTTCATCTGTTCATGATGTCCTTCTGCTCCTTCAGCTCCACCTTGTTGTCGCTACAAGCCAGAATGAAGCCATACGAAGCTCACTAGAGTGAAACGCGCTGCCTTGGCAATTTGTGCAATTTTGTGCTGAAAGCCCTAAAAAGAAAAGGCGACGACGTATTTGGACAAAGACATGGCTGAGCAAACGTGGCCACTAAGGTCTGTCAGTTTGACAGAAAGAACTCCGTTTCACTCATTGCATGCTTCTGGGTTTACATCTGAGAGGAAGAAGAATCTTTGTTTGCGCACTGAGCGATTTGCAACAACCACCTTAAGACGGCCGACTGAATTATATTTATGGAAAATAAAATCCAAATTAAAGGATTCTCTGCTGATAATTTTGTTTCATTTATTTTTTTTATTATTTAATAATTTATCCATTTATAACTAATTGATTTATTTATTTGTTTAATGAATTACTTGGTTTAATTTGAACACTTCTGAGTTCCATACCAAGCAGAAAGAGGTAATGTTAAAAAGTGACGTTGAATGCAGGGGCGCAGATAGGTTTTTGAAACTGTGGGGGACAGTTACTATAGGGCTTGGTCGTCGTGACGTAAGCACTTTGCGTCGCCGCCATGTTGAATGCGTCTTTTACCGCGGCTCAGACTACTGCCTATGACTACCGCATACTGTACTCCCTCTCAGCCGTGTTTTAATTTGATTAATTTCACCGTAACTTGATTTCAACCATGGTAAACCGTTGCTGTATTGTGGGCTGTAACAGCTCAACACATCATCGCCATGGGAACAACATAGAAAATGGGTTAACTTTCCACCGCTTTCCTGACTGGAGGCGTAACCATGGAGACCAAGCGTCAGAGATAAAGAGTCGTCGGCTAGCTTGGATCGCGGCTGTAATACGACCTAACATAACTTTCCACAGTATTCCTATGTCATTGAGAGTGTGTTCCCTGCATTTTCATTCTGGTAAGTTAAAGATGCACGGTTTTATTTTATAGCCTACTTTGTTTCTTTCCTTCAAAGTTGGGATCTTTTACGGGAAAATAATAAAAACGGCAGCGGGAAAATGCTCAAATACGCGAGAAACCCGGAGAGTTGGCAGTTAACGTTACTAACTACATCTTTGAAACACATAGCAGCTAGTTAAAAGTGCATTACATGCGTGAGTGGTTGTTAGCACTAGCGGTTAGCAGTTGCTAAACTAGCAGGTTCCAGAGCCCGTCTGATCACAGCTTACCTTCGAACGGATTACTGTGTTCCCACTGTTTGCTGGCTTTATGATCTGCAGCTCCTGAACCCATCCATTCATGAACTGCACATGAGACTCCAAGGACTTGTAGCTTGGGAACTGTTTTGAAGTATAGGCGCTCACTCATCGGTGCTCCACTCATTGTTTGGAACTTTATATGGATCCAAATGATTAATAATGCTGATTTTGTCACCATACCGGTCCCTGGCTTCTCTATTTAATGTGTCCTGGTAAATTCCAGATCCTTTTCGGGATTTTAACATCTTTTTTCTCTCTACTTCTGTCTCTTCTTTCAACAACAACGTTGTGTCAGAGCTATGCTTACGTTTGCGTAGCAGTCAGTATGGCTGCGACGTCCCACAATGCAACGTGGATCCCGAGCCCTATTACTGGCTATTACTCAGCTATGACAACCCATCAATCTTAATTGCCCATCATTGCAAGAAAATAACATGTATTGGTACTAAGTACACACCAAACATGCCACATGACGTGTGAAAAAAAAAGGTTTTATTTAAACATGGACTGACTTTAAGTGCAGGCTGTAAACACACAGAAACACGAACAGCAAAGCCTACATATATACAAAAACAAATTTGTAAATAAGTACTTTACATGGCTTTTCAATAAATGGCCTCAAATGAAGAAAGTTGTGTGTCTACTTTGTCAAGGACTCTGTAGAACTCCACTCTGTGGTACTCCACAGCAGATTCTGGCCTGTGTGCAGGTGCTGGCCCAGAATATCTCTTTGGGGGCCTATGTGTTCGAGGTAGAGCAATGGGCTCTAGAGACAGCTTCTCAGCCATATCCACTGCTTCCTTAAAGACTGCCTCAAAGTGGGCTGGCTTTTTTTGTCCCGTAATCTCTCTTGGACAACTGAGACTGCAGAGACCATGCCCTCCAATGTCTGGGTGCTTTTTTGGAGCGATGTATTCAGCACTTCCAGTTCGCTCATTACATCTAAGGCCAGTGAGCCCCAGTAGCCCCAATTTCAGTAAAATCTCAGGCTTTTAAATGTTGTAAAATCACCCATAAGTTTTAGGTGTTTTAGTCCTTTATAATTAAATTTATACATTCAAAAAACATAAGGAAGTTATTATCAACGTCTCACTCTACTTTACAGCTTTGTATTAACATTGCTTTAATGTGTGTTATTGTGTACAGCTGGGGATGCTAAGGGCCACGTTAATTATAGATAAAATAATTTACTGTTCTGTAGTTTAATCAATTGTCATATTTGTAACATCACTAGTCTTTCCTGTGACATGCATCTTTTATTTATTTATATATACACACACACACACACAAACACACACATATATATATATATATATATATATATATATATATATATATATATATATATATATATATATATACACACACACACATACATATATATATATATGAGAGAGAGATTCTTTCCTCCGAGTTACAGTGACATAGACAAACTTGAAGATACATGACATCCTCAAATTTCTATTCTATTAAAATTTCTGTATCTGTATAATGGGTCTGTTCTATATGTTGTCTTCTCAATTCAGAAGGCCCCATGCCTGTCTTTGCCTAGGGCCCCAAATTTCCTAAATCCGCCCCTGTGTAGTGGAATTTGTCTAGCTTTGAAGTTCGTTTTTCTCATGATTCAACCTGTAACAACCTAAACCTTTTGCCTTGGCATAAATACGGATTCAAGTAGCCTACTGTAGCCTACACATTTCTGAAAGACCCCCAACAACTCCAGAAAAAGTCGGAACAGTCGATTTAATTATAAATAAATAAATGCCAGTCGATTCCCCCTGCCTCCCGCCTTATGACATTGGCACCTCTCTTCACGCTATTCTCACTGACCGTCTCTACTCTTTTTTCCAAGGCGACATCGAACAGACAACCAAAAAAATGCAAAGTGATATGATGAACAGTTTACTTACAGTTGGTGCTTTTCGAAAAAAGGATGCAATTGTTTTCTGTTTTTTCGGTTTGGCTGGCCTCATGTTGATGTCCGGACTCCGGAATTGGGAACTGTCCCGCCACTACTGTCTGTCTGAGTAACCATGGAAACCAGGCTCGAGACGTAAACGCCAGAGACAGGATAACTTTTAGATTAGAATCTCTACGACGCAGGCAGCCTGCAGTTAAACAAAACGATTGCCCGTCTATGATCTGACTGTTTTATGTTATTGTTGCAAAGCAGTAAATTAGAAAAAGCTTTTTGCTTTTCTGTGAGTTTCGCCGTATGTTTTTTTTTTTTTTTTTTTTTTTTTTTATAAAAGTGGGGGGGACGGATTGAGGGTCATTCGAATCTGTGTACGTCAGAACACCCCTGACGTACACGCTATCTGCGCCCTTGGTTGAATGAAGGGATTCAAACCTCGTCCTTAGAAAGTCCCTTCAGATGGTCCAAAATCTGGCCGATGAGCGTCTCACACAGCTTGTTGATCTCTGAGAGGAACTTTGGGTCTCCTCCATACAGCGTCTCATTGGAGTCCACTAAAAAACAAAAACAAACGCTGGAATAAAAAGCCAGAGCGGATGATATAGTGCGAAACCCAGGATGGTTTTACCTTTAGCGATGGAGTAGAGATACGTGTCCTGACTCATAGCAGCGAGCAGCGGCAGGGCGCTGATGTAAATCCGCACCTTGGCGTCGCTGCCGTCCTCCCAGGTGTAGTCCTGGACCATGTTGAGCAGCCCCCGGACCAGATACAGCACGCCGTGCTCAGGGTGGTCCTGGAAGGATACGCTTTTTTAGCAGAAGGCCTTATATGGCCTTATACGCCAAAAAAAAACGAGGCTGTTACCGGGATGACCAGCAGGGTGGCCAGGAAGTTGTTGATGAAGTCCAGCAGGAAGCTCTCAGAGGAGCGAAGCTTCCCCTCCACGCTGATGGAGCGAGGAACCTCGGGCAGGATGCTGACTGCCGCCTTCAGGAAGGCGTCCGCTGGAAGGAGGGATGTACGGAGTGACTTTTGTTACATTATTGTTGAAAGCAGAGAACAGGTTGTGTAAATGGTTGTAAAAAATGCAATCAGGAAATAAAACTTTGAAAATTGGAATTTTTTTCTAGGATTTTATTTTATTTTTTATTATAGATTTTAGAGGTTTCTGTTGTTTGATTATTTTTAATCCTTTTTTCAGATCTTGCTTCATGAAATCTTATTAATTTCAAATGGCGTTTTATTGGTCAGATTGTTTTCCCTCCAGGCCCAAACCAAACGCTCACTCCTAACAGATAAAATGTCATAAGTGCATCTTTGCTCCTCACTTCTTAGGCCGGCTGCCTTTGAGAGGGAATAAGATCTGAAAAAGCTATTTGATGAGAATAAAATTAGTAAAACTTGATCTGAAAAACAAAAATTTGGAAAAAAGCAAACAAAACTGAAAAAAAAAAAAAGAATAGATAATTCCCCCCATACATAGGCCCCTGAGCTGCACTTCAAATATTCAATCATTTTCATATATTTTGTGGCGCAGAAAGGCTCAAACTCTTAAGCTTTAGTGGTAAAAATGAATGAGATTCTGGGCCTCAAAGAAGTTAAATAAAAATCAAAACAACAAAGTAACTGGATCAACCAGATGATTCGAGACGGCAGAACTCTAAAAGACGCAAACCTAAAATCCCAGTGAAACATTTAAGATGGTGGACGGCCAAAGCTCCAGAACAGGAGGTGCTCACCCTGAGAGAGACACTGGTTGGCCAACGCCACCTGACCAGACAGTAGGTAGAGGTGGAGGCGGCTGAAGATGTTGCTGAGCGACGGGATGGTGATGAAACAATAGGCTGCACACGCCTGGAAGCAGACAGAGCGTGAACAGGAAGTCCTCCTCTGAGGAAAACACGCCACACCGAGGACACGACGGTCCGACTCACCCGGACGAAAGCCGCCGTTTTCCGGGAGTGATTCCCTCTCATCACCCTCCTGGTCTCCATGGCCAGCTGGTTCACCGTCTGCAGGAAACAGGGTCACATGGTGAGAGCTGAAGGGGGCGGGGTCAGCGTGTGCAGACAGACTGTCTACTGACGTGGATCAGCTGGACCAGGACCGGCTCCAGGTTGCAGAAGGTGGCTCTGGCCTCCACACAGAAAGTCAGCTGCTGCTCTAAGTCCCGACCGAAGGAGACCTGCGGAGCAACGGAGGCGTCATCAGCGTTAGCATTAGCAGCGTTAGCGTCATCAGCGTTAGCATTAGCAGCTTTAGCATCAGCAGCAGGGACATTTTCACCGACCCCATATTCCATCCACAGATGAGTGGCAGCCTAGTGGTTAGAGCATAGAGCTTGGAATCCGGAAGTTCTCTTTTCAAGCCCCACTCCCTCAGACTGCCACTCTGGGTCCCTGAGGAAGACCCCTAACCCCACACTGCTCCGCGGGGAACACACAATGGCAGCCCACTGCTCCCCAAGAGGATCGGTTAAATGCAGAGGGTGAATTTCGTTGCTCTGTACTTGTGACAGAGAAATGGAAATAAAAAAATTAAATAAAAAAAAGCTGAAAGCTTCAGTCAACAGAAAGAATTCAATCTGTGGCGCCGAGGTCGGCCTCATTCAGCCTGGTTTTAGGGAGTCCCAAAAAACAATGCCCCCAGACTGAAACCCAACTAATTTATGGTTCAAATAAAGTACTTATTCCATCGTAGTTTCTAAATTATTTTTTCATTAAAGAGACATTTAATTATTTTATTTTTTTATTAACAAAAAGTATATTCTAATCATATATCACAACAATAAATGTTTCATCTACTTCACTTAACATCTCAACCCTGAAACTGAAAATGTCCTTCTGTGTACGGCGCTAAATGAAATCCGACGTTTGTGTTGATATTTTAGATATTTATAAGATGTTGGGTGACTGAGTGTGGAGAGGAGGTTAGAAATGAAACTTGGTGAAGGTTCAAGATCATATTTACTACGGGGGCCAGAATGGGGCCACATTTATCTTGAGCGACAGGTTGCAATACCTTGAATTTAAAATCGTTATTTAAGTAAAACTCAATACTCTAAAACTCTGACTCTGACTGTTACTATTGTAACAACTGTTTACGTGCATCTTGCACTACTCACTTTGACTGAATATTGATTTGCAGTGCCGACTGTTACATTTACATCTGCAATAACGTATTTTAACTGTAATATGCAGTTACCTTCCACTGCACTTTAATCTAGATAGCTTCTGTCCAAACTCTATCATTTTATAGTAAAACCCTTCTGTATATTATGCTATTGTACCCAACTGTAAAAACCCTTTTTATAGTAATATTCACCTATATACTATATTCGGTACATATCCAGCTGTAAATTTAGTTCATAACACTAGTGATCTATATATTATATTCATCTATTAGTAAGATTCTGTTTATAATGATATTCATCTCTATACTTATTCAGTAGAAACCCATGTCCTGTATTTATAGAACCATTATTTATTCTGCACTTGCTGCTATTGCACTTCTGGTTAGACTAAACTGCATTTTGTTGCCTTGTACCTGTACCTGTGTAAAAAAATAAAGTTGAATCTAATCTAAAAAATCTAATCTAATCTAAAGGTAAAAACTGACAGTGATCCGAGAGATCAATGAGTTATGGTTTCTCTGTCAGTGTATATCGTCATCAGAAATTAATTTAGTATTATGTAATCAGTAAACGGGTCAGGTTCGACAGGGGCACGGGCCCCTGTAGGCCCCCATCTAGAACCATGGAAGTAATAACACAAGATTTATTCTTCTTCTGAACATTTTCAGCCCTACTATGGAGGGAATTTATTTTCATTTTCAAAAAAACATTCAATTAAGAAATTAAACTTTGGAAAACTTCCTCTAAAAAAAGATTACATATTGCATTGTTTTCATCTTTATGTTTTATCTGTTGTTTTTTTCAAATTTGAATTTAATTTTTCACATTCTCTGGAGATGCATTCCTATTGGTCTGCATGGATGGATGTTTGTAACTATTTTAAATGGGCTTGAAGTGAAAAGAAGTAAAATTTGAAATTCTTTCAACTCAAACAAAATGAAAATATAGTCTATGAAAACTATTTAATACATACGTTTGAAAAAACGGTGAAGTTTATCTCAAATGTTTTTAATGTTTCATTTCTGGTATGAATTTATCTTTTTATTTCAATTTACAAATTCTTTAATATTGAAGCAAAATTCACTCCATACCAACGTTGCCTATTTTGGCTGCAGGACGCTAATCATCTCCTCTGCCTACATCTCCCAGAATGCCATGTGTTTCTGAGTTCAGAGCAGCTACTGGATGTATTTTCTATTGATTCAGATTCATGGTCCAGCCCAGTAATGATGTTAACATTGTTTAAAGATGGACAGATCCGATCGGACTCATTTCCCTGATTAAAGGAGATTTAACATTTCTATCTACATAAAGGAGAAAACCTACCTCCTCACTTTGAGTCAATCATTCGACTTTATGATGAGATTATTTTATAAAAATGAATTCCTAAGGTCAGGCCTGATTTCATTCAAATAAAAACGCAAATATGAAGCAGCGCTGCCTCCATTATTAACACCTTTGTTCCATCCAAGGTTTCTAGAGACATAAATCCACTTTATCCAAAAGCTGAGAAGTCTCACCATGCGGATAAAGCCGGTGATCAGCACAGCCAAAGATCGTTTCTCGTCCTCCAGAGTCAGAGCGCTGCAGGACAAACAAAGGGTTAAACACTCCGCCTGCCTTCACACACACAAGGACTGCAGGGTAATGGCTGGTTTATACTTTGAAATGAGGTCTGCGTGTGTCGCAGTGAACACAGAGACGTCCTCGCTCCTTCCGCAGACACTCTACTGCAACTCTCCAAAATTGTATGTGACCGCAGATAGCGCCGAAGACAGGAGGGCTCTGATTGGTCAAATGATAATCCGCTCTACACTATGCGTATGTCCTGACACTAGTTTGTAGCTCTGTGCAATGGTCTGTTGGTTTGCATCCGAAGCCAAAACACGCAGCGCCACGGCCAGTCTTTGTAGAACACTCACGGGTGAACTGTGTGTCGTCCGGCATTGGATGAGGGGTTGTAGACGGCGAACAAGCTCGTCAAACTGACACACGAATACCCAAAATCCTAGCTAGTTCCTGATTGACCCTCTTGCATTGTGGCGTGGAATAACAGTGCAGACCACGCTTCAAAATTAGGCATAAATCAAAAATATCTGTCATACCTGCGACAAGCTAACTGTGACACACTGCTGCGAGAGGATAACAAGCCTTTAATTCAAAGTTCACCGGTATGTCATAGTTTCCCTCCAACGACCTCGGGTCTTCAGGGAGAGCAGAAGCGCATTTCTGAGGTTCGACACTGATGTTGGACGCGGAGCGACCCATTTCTGCTCTAAATCAGAAGTTCCAACCTTTTTGATGGTAAAGGACTGATGGTTGGGGCATATCTGCGTTAACTGCGACACACATGCAGACGGCCTGGTTTCTCAGCATAAGCCAGGCTTTAGAAGCTGGACGTAAAAGTGTCGCCGTACATTTAGCTGTCATGCATTCCCATTTGACTGGAATTCCCCTGCAGCCGATTGAAGATTTTCAGTATAAATACCCAGAATGCACCACCCAAGTTACTATGGCAATCGCACCGTCAGTTCCGTCACAAAGACTTCAGGGATGAGGCTCGGTTTGAGGCCAAATGAGTTTATTTTAAAGAGATCAACGACCAGCTAAACATTTTGCTTCAGTATGTTTTCTTATTGACTTAAAAATGTTGGTTTTAATGCAAAGATTTACTTCAAAATGTATAAATCCTTGGTTATATCTTTAAGCCATGGAGAAGGCCATCTCTTCACCTGTGCAATGCATGCTGGGTAAATAGCGGTTAGCGGAGCCTAGCCACGGGAAGGCTAGGCTAGGTTTGACAGGAAATTTGGACAATGGTTCACTGCCTCACATGAGGTATCTGTTGGAAGAAACAAATGTGATCTAATGTTTACAATAGAGGCTAAAGCTAACAGCGCTAACAGAAGCTAACGGCGCTAACATAAGCTAACAGCGCTAACAGAAGCTGGTGTGAAATCAAAATTCTATCTGAAAATAATGAACGAATTATTTCAGCCGTAACACGTCGTTCTAGCACATTATTGATGCAGGATGTGAATTTGTTTTGTAAATGGAAATAAACAAAAGATGCAATCCAGGAATAAAATATTTAAATCAAATTTAGAATAAACCTGTTGTCTTTACTTTAACTCCCTTAACCAATGAAAATGTGTCTGATGCCCATCTCGACCAATAGAAATATGTCTCCCTCCTCACTCCTGATGAAAGCCCGCCCCAAGACGGGAAGAGAATGAAAAAAATGCATTAAATTCCAATAAATTGTAAAATAAATAAATAAATATGAAAAATTTTGTAACAATAGAATTTGAAATAAAATACAGTAAAGTTATTTTCCAAACGGTTTTTTTTAAATGTTATTCAAAGTTTCATTTCTGGATTGCCTCGTCTCTGAAAATCATCAGGAACTTTCCCCGAAATGTTCCCAGACTGACCGACATCCCATCATGGCTCCAATTCCCTGAGCTTCTGACTGATAGCGTTAAACGGTAAAATTCAAAGGTTGGAGGTTTGACCTACTTGACGGAGTCATGCATGGTTTTGCAGATGTGCAGCATGGCGTTGAGGATGACCGGGTCCCTGGTGACCTCCAGCTGGTGTCTGCAGGAAACAAACAACAGATGGAGACAAATCCACCGCAAACTTCCTCCATCCCAGCTGGTTCAGGTGTTAGTCTTACTTGATGAAGATCTCCATGAAGGATTTGCAGACCTCCACCCTCACACTGTCCTTCTGGAACATGTCCAGGAACGGCAGGAAGCGCTCCTGAGGAAACGGAGGAGAGGGAAACTGTTAAAACGCCACGTGGAGAACGGGTAACGTTCAGCCGCTCGTGTTTCCATCCACCGACCATGGAGAAGAGGATGGAGAAGTCGTGGAAGTAGGTGAGGATCTTCCTGATGACGGACTGAAGCTGAACGCAGCGTGAGAAAAAACAACACAGTGATTAGAGAGCAGCTGGAGAACAAAGCGCTGGGAGCAGGGGGGGTAAACCCCGCCCACCTGAGGGTAGGCGTCCTCGAAGGCGCGGTCGGGGGTCATGTGTTTGATGATGTCAGCCAGGACCGTGTTGACCTCACGTTTCTGTGAGCAGGAGACACAGAGGTTAGAAACAGCTGGAGGCGCGGCGGCCATCTTTCTCGGTCAGGGTTCACTCACGGTAAAGTGTCTGCAGGTGAACTCCACCCAGATCTCTGCACAGTTCATGTAATCCTAGAAAAACAAACCCACAGGGGGTCAGCCATGACCATAGACACGTCTCTGGTAGAACCAGGGTGTTCGTTGCATAGAGGGTACCGAACCTCAGCGTTTCGGACTTTGGTGATGACCTTCCAGGCTTCGTTCAGAATCGTCAGCCTCTCGGACTCTGGAGGGTCGGCGCAGCCCAGACTGCGGCCCAGAGACCCGTACAGCAGATGCTGAGGAGACGTTTACAGCGTCAGCAGCTCTAAGTTGCTTTAAACAGACAGATGAGATCTGTGACCTCTGACCTTCGGGAAGCCGGACTCGTCGCAGTCTTTGATCATTCCGATGAAATCTGTGGCTCTGGTTGCAACAAACTCCGGTCTGAAGGCTCTCATTATCGAGTTCAGCAGCAAAGCACTGTGGGAAAGTAAACCCCAAATCAGCGGAATAAGTGAAATAGCAAAGGAGCAATTAGCAACATTTCAGCAGTAGGTGAGGCTGTAGACCAAAACAAGACGTGTGACAACAGACCATCTACGGGGTGAGATAACTGCCAATAATAACATAAGACTAGGCGCCTGAATTTATTTTATGAATCAATAATTGTTATTTAAGTTAAGATTTGTATTTGTTCCTTGTTGTCATTTAAAATGTACATAATATCACATCTTTATCTGTGAGACAATACATTTAGAAGTTCAAAACACAGGGTACAAAGTTACAAGTTCATAACAACACCCAATAAACCACAACTTTATTAGGTAATACTGCGTTCACACCAAAAGCTTTTTAAGAGTCAAAAACACTTAAACGCAGAAATCTGGACGTTGGATCAAACTGTGGTCCAGTTGCTTTGACTCTTTGATGCTCTGGTTGTTTATCTGCTCTGTTCTGTAGCTTCAAGCTAGAGAGCAGCTTGGCATAATTTACTTTATGAGTTGGAAACACGTTTTTAAGCGAGAAAGTCCTCCAAACATCCTCTGTTCATCAGTTCATAAGAATTATAATCCCACTAAAATCTGCAGTTCTTGCTGGGAGCTCCAGACTTCCAGCGTACCGCCGGCAGGCAGCGCTGGGAATCCCTGCTAAAAGCTCTCTGCTGCGGCCAGAATGTGGGGGGTTTCCTGCTGCCGTTCATAGCGGCTGGAAGTAAATAAAAAGAGTTTTAAGGTTTGTGGTACAAACTGCAACTTACGGAAGAGGATTAGGGCCACTGAAAAATAGAAAAGTTTATTGATTTTTAGATTTTTAAAAATCTAAAAAAAAGTCAGAATTCTGACTTTTTTCTCAGAATTCTGCCTTTAATCTCAGAATATTGACTTTTTTCCAGACACTCAGAATTTTTTCGGAATTCTGAGAAAAAAAGTCAATATTCTGAGATCAAAGTCAGAATTCTGAGAATATTATACTGAAATAAAATTTAAAAAGCAGTTAACTTTTTTTTCAGTGGCCCTAGTCCTCTTCCGTAGCATGTACCAGAATATACAATCGAATATTTTTCAGGTATTCATAAACTGTTTCTCCATAGTTCATAAGAAATGTTTTAGTGCAACAGAGGCTGTAGATATTCTCTACATCAAACCCTCACAGAGAGCATGCATGCAGCAACAGTGGAGAGAAAAACTCCCTTTGAACAGGAAGAAACCTCCAGCAGAACGAGGCTCGGTGTGAGCGGCCATCTGCGGCCATCTGCAGAAGCTGGGCCCATAGTTGTGTCTAAGAGAGAAACGGGACTAAACACTGAAAAACATGCCCAACTCTATTGTCTATTTCTAATCTGTATTCGTGAATTCATAATTGTTGTTCATAATTTCAGTTTGGTATTTATGGATTTGTGATTATACTAATTAGCGACTCATTCTTGTAAACTGAGGATTTGAACCTGCATTGTTACAAACTTTGCATTTTGAACACTTCAACCTGATGTCGCTCGTATGTCTGAATCTTAAATTCATTCACATTATTTAATTTTATTTATAAACTCTTCTTTACATAGATTTTGTCGACTATTATTTCACCCCATAGGCGACCGCGTCCATCTCCACTCCAGCTGCAATAAAACCTGCGTCTCTAAATGAGTGAGCCTGACTGCAAACACTTTACTCACTTATTGGCCATCATCTTACATCTCTCCATCATCTCTGTCAGAAGTTGCTGATGTGGGAACAAAGGTGAGAGAAAAGGAGTTGGTCATCATGTTGGAAACGCTTTGGTTTTTCTCTGCTGCACCTTTTGTCAGAGTCCAGCAGGTGGCGTACCTCTGGAGCTCTGTATGCGATACACTGCAGGATCCAGCTGATGGCGGGTGAGTAGAGCGTCAGGTACACCGGTACCTCCACCCTCTGGACGTGCAGCTGCCTCTGGACGCTGTCTCCGCTGATCTGCCGGAAGGTGGCCAGCAGGTCGAAGAAGTTTGCGTTCAGGCTCTCCTTCAGGTGGGGCGCCACCTCCATGCCCACCTGGATATTGCGGCGACATTAAGTCCGAGCAGAAGAATGGAAGGGGAGCAATAAAAATGAAGAGGGAAGGCGACTCACCCTGCAGAGGTAAGCTCTGGCGTAAGCAGCAACAAGAGGGTCGCCGATCCCACGGATCATGGCGGTCAACCGAGGCAGCGTCTCCTGGATTCCTCTACGGACGAACGGCGACGGGTTACATCACAGACCTTCATCCTAAACAGACAAGCTTAAAGGAGACTTACGATCTGCTGAGGAAACGGTTGCACTTGAGAATTGCAGCTTCAACGTATCTGAGCTCAGAGGTTAAAGAATCACAATAAGAAGTTGAACAAAGATGCTCTTTGGTTTCCAAACAAAGATCATTAGGAGGTGAAACTGTGAGGTGAGTGGAAGCAAAGGATACAGCCTGGGCAGCAGCTCTCTGATGGAGGCGATCTTGAAGAACCAGTTCAGGCACGTCTCTTTGGCCGTGTCGTTCACATCCTCAGCTGTGAAGGAGTCTGAGGCAGGTATGGAGTGAATTATGCTCCATTATTATTGTGGAAAATAAAAGTTTTTTTAAATGTGAATTTGAAAAAGCAAAAAAAAAAAAACAATCCAAACCAAAAATGAAACTTAATCAGTAAAAAGACTTGAGAGTAACTTCGCTATTTTCTAAGATTTTATTTCTTTCTAATTTATGCTAAATAATTTTGATATAATTTTTTTCTTCTTTTTCCACAAGAAATAATATGTTTTATATTTAATCATTTTATTTTGTTTTTATTTCTCCTTTTCAGATTGAATTGTTTGAATCTTTTCTAATCAGGTTTTCTTAATCACAATTACTGAAAGTCAATAAAAAATTCTTGCTCTTGACCAATAAAAATGACAGAAAAAGAGAAATTTGAAAGAATAATTTCAGATATTAAAGGAACAGCACTATGCTGGTTTAAATCTGATTTATCTGACAGATTTCACGTTAATAATAAATCTTCCTCATGCTCAAAGGTTACCTGTGGAGTACCACAGGGATCAGTGCTAGGACCAGTTCTCTTTACTTTATACATGCTCCCAATTGGTAGAGTTATTAGACAGCATGGGATTCATTTCCACTGTTATGCTGATGATACCCAGCTATATCTGTCTATAAATCCAGATGAAGCTAACCCATTACATAGATTACAGGCATGTCTGAAGACATAAAAACCTGGATGACTCTTAACTTTCTGCTTCTGAATGCAGACAACACAGAAGTTATAGTCTTTGGACCAGAGTCTGCTTCTGTCTCCTTGAACCCCAGTCGGCCTCAGGAGATGGCCGCTCACACTGAGCCTGGTTCTGCTGGAGGTTTCTTCCTGTTAAAAGGGAGTTTTTCCTCTGCACTGTCGCTGCAAGCATGCTTAGTGTGAGGGATTGCTGAAGAGTCAATGAGTCGATGCAATCAGCTGGTTTTCCTTCGATAAAAAACTTTGAATCAATTTGACTGGATGATCTGGTTGAACTTTAAAGTGCCTTGAGATGACAGGTGTTGTGAATTGGTGCTATAGAAATAAACTGAATAGAATTGGACCAGAGTCTTTGAAAAAGAAGCTGATTAGCCAGTCACTTCATTTGGATGGGATCAAACTGGGATCAAACAGATCAAACAGATAATAAAGTATAAAATCTTGGTGTTATTTTTTATCAGGACCTGTCATTTAAATCCCACATCAAAGAGGTTTCTAGAGTTTCCTTCTTTCACTTGAGGAATATTGCAAAAATGAGAAATCTCCTGTCCAGGGGTGATGCTGAGAAACTAGTCCATGCATTTGTTACTTCAAGGCTGGACTATTGTAATTCTTTACTATCAGGAAGTCCACAAACTATAGTTAAAAGCCTTCAGCTGATCCAAAATGCTGCAGCCAGAGTTCTGATGAAAATGAAAAAGAGAGATCATATCTCTCCTATCCTGGCTTCTCTTCATTGGCTTCCTGTTAAATCCAGAATAGAATTTAAAATCCTCCTTCTCACATATAAAGCCTTAAATGGCCAAGCTCCATCTGATATCAGAGATCTGATTGTTCCTGATGTTCCTAACAGAGCACTTCGCTCTCAATCTGCAGGTTTACTAGTGGTTCCTAGAATTTCTAAAAGTAGAATGGGAGGCAGATCTTTTAGTTATCAGGCTCCTCTCCTGTGGAACCAACTACCAGTTTTATCAAACCGAATCTGACTGCATGATGCGTGTTTTAGTTTTTCTGTTGGCTAAATGTATAAAATACCGATAAAACTTGCTTTAATGCGTGAAAAAATGTTTAGGAGTTATCTAATAAGACAAGGCATTTCTGATTGATGCTTGGGCTGGATTACCTGGCAAAGGTCGGGGGTCACAGCACATGGTCCAGATTCTGTCATAAACCAGACGACCTGAAAACAAACCAGACCGTCAGCAGGAAGTTTGACCAGGAAAACAGAAACTGGGAGCCATGTTACGCACCAAAAGTGTCGAGGATGTCGGTGATGAGGACAAACTTGCTGGGGTAGAACTGGATCACAGACGTGTCTGACAGCAGCTTGGAGCACTGGAACACAGACCCCAGATCAGTGCATCTGATCCAGAAAACAACAACAAAACAACAACGGATTGGTTTGTTTCTTTTGTGTTTTTACCTGGATGACGATCTTCAGGGCTTTAACCTTCTGGTCAGAGGACCAGGCCTCCTTCAGGGACTGGTTGAGCTCCTCGATGCGGTTGGCATAATCCTGCTGAGAGAGGTTCAGCAGCTCCCTCTGGGAACCCTGAGAAGCAAACAAACACCGAATCCTCAAACGTCTCCTTCGAAAGAGTTCAGCTCATTCATAAAACTGATGGTAGAAGGCCGTGTGCAAACCAGCGCACCTCCTCCAAATCGTCCAGCTCCTCCAAGCGAGTGCGAACTTTCTCTGAAACGGCCGATGATCCCGGGTTGGGAGCTTTTCCTAGAAGACAGATATCATCAGTATTTCCACTGAAATAGAAAACTTTCCCGAAGCATCAGGTGCAGCTCCAGCCCACATCATGATTCCTCCTGCCCCGTGCTGAGCAGATCTTTGCTCCAAATGCTTCCCTTTCTCCCAGAACCAGAAGAAAACCATCTGCATCGACCTGCAGGGCTGGTTTAGTCATCTTTGAACATGCATGACTTTCCTTTATAGTTTTAGGAAATACATTTTGTTTTACGAATGTGTTTTTTCCCCAGCTTAGATAATAATCATTTTATGTCTTCTGGTAAAACGCTGATTTGATCTCTGAGGGCCAAATCTTATTCATGAAGCTTTTTTTGGTGAGAAAACTAAAACATGCTTGAACTATGAAATGTAGATGTGTTAGTAAGTACTGCCTGCTGCACATCTTCCCTTCTTTCTCAGCTGTTTCCTTTCTGTGTGAACTTTCTTTCTTTAAACTCTCTTCATCCAGATCCTCCTCCTCTCTCTCTTCATTTCTGCTCTCTTTCAACTCGACTTTGGTCAGCCTCATTGGAGGCGGACCGATCCCTCAGCCGGATCAATATTAGTGTTTTCTTCTTCAATCGCCATCTGCCGATATGTGCAAATACCACAGAAAGCAACATCTGTCTCCAGGATTCCCCCTCAGCTATTACTTCTATTGATTGTTTATTATATCAACATTGAAATGAAGCCAATTCTAATTTCCATAAGTATATTTATATATAGTATATTTCCACTGATTTGAGCAGACAAGAAAAACTATTTAAGAATGGAATAAGTTTGATTTTCTTTAAAATAAAAAATAAAAAAAACAACCCAGTAATCTTATTTTTAGTGCAGAATATCCACTTTTAAGGGCAAAAATACTAATTAATTTAGGAGATGATCTTATTGACCTGCTAAACTTGGTGACAAATACTCATTCTAAGAATTTTTTTTCAGTTTCATCAGTTTTTGCCTTGTGGTCTTAACCATCGTCTCCAGCTGCCCACCTTCTCAGATACAGAAATAAATTAAATGTGATTTTTTTACTGTAGATGTTTTAGACTTGGATGGCTATGGGGTAAACTCTGTTCCATTATTGTTGCAAAAAAGAAAAAAGATGGAATCCAGGAAAAAAATGTTAAAAAAAATGTTTGGATTGGAAATCAGAAGTGGAAGCAAATCATCACAGGATTATTTACAGATTTGCACACAGGCTGCCATGAATTATAAATCCTCTCCCACTGTTGTGGTATTGAAGGATGGAATCAATTTTAACACACACCAATCATCTCGTTATCACGAGAAAACAGCTACGTTATCTTTAGGTAATAAGAAAATTAACTTGTTTTCTCAAGAAAACCACCGTAAAAAAGTATCGGAGGGAAACGACCGCTCTGGGCTTCTGTAAAAGAAACGAATGCAATCCAAATAAAGATTTTTTCTCTCCATTTTTTTCCCACCAACAGAAAAGTTACTCTGATTTTTTTTTTAGGACAGTTTTCAATATTTTATTTCTGGATCATATTTTTTGTCAAATTTGCATTCACAAAATGTGTTTTTTGGCTACAAAAATAATGGATCAAAATCCCCTCCGTACAGACCTCATGGATACAACGCTGAAATGGAAGAAAGTAGAAATATTTGTAAACATTTTCAATCAAATTCTTACATGAAGCTTGTAAATCAGCTTCACTTTCCTTTATGAGATAAATAGAGAACAATCTGCCATTTTTTATTTTTTTCCAGCATTAACTCAGTTAGCTGCTAAACATGAGAGAAATCAGTCTTACCTCTGTCAGAGCCCATAGAGAGACTCTGTAAAGAGAACGAAACATGTTGCTTTAGCACCGAAAGCTTCACCATAGCAGGCATCGCTGACCCTGAAAGCTCCTCCATGTTTGGAAGATTTTAGACTCACAATGGAGAGTTTTTCGGTGGTGGTGAACCTGGCCAGGATGTCTCCTCGCTTTGATGACCAGGACTCAAAATCTGCTCCAAGCGCCTCCTCCTCCTTAACTCTCTTCTTCCTCCCGAGATCCTGGAAGCAGATTAAATCCATCAGATTGAGCTTGAATTAAGTGAAAAGTTTCCCTCCTGCCTCTTCTGACCCCAGTGGAGCTGCTACGTGGCAAGGCCGACGTCTCGCTGGAAGAGGCAGCGGCGAACATGGACAGGGGGTCTGTGCCGTCCAGCATGGAGCTGAGGGGGTCGGCAGGTGCTGAAGAGGAGGAGGAAGAAGAGGAGGAAGTGCTGCCTTTACGGGTTCCCCGCCGGCTCTTTGTATCTGTGACCTGGATGTAAAAAAAAAGAAAGGCTGGTGTTGGAATTTCCTGCTGGGAATTAGATGACAGGATTCCAGTCTGTGCAGATTAGATGCACAGGAGCTTATTGGTAGAAGGAGGAGATACCATGATAGGTTTGAGGGGGTGGTAGTCCCCGAACTCCACAGGGATCCCCTCAGCATGACACCTCTGCAGCTCTGCCTCATAGTTACGCCCACGGGAACGCCTGTTTACAAAACAGAGGGGAAAAAAGATGCAGCTTCCTTCTTAAAAGCTTTAATATGCATAATCATTATAGACATAAACGTAAAACATCCATATGAACTATGATGAACCCCGAATTCCCTATATGTTACAGCCTGACACGTCATGTCTATAGCAGTAAATTACAATTAAAAACTGTGGGAAAATAGCCGAAAATACAAATCTGGTAGTGAGATGAATAAGGGGAAACACCGCAGATTATAAATACACTGTCAGGTGAACCTCTCAGTTATAATAACATCATGTTTAATAATGTCAGAAGCATCTTACCACTGCACCGCGGCCATCTTTTTTTTTACCGTCACATGACACTTCAGGACTTCCTAGTTTAGGCTAATTTAATGACGACGAGTTTATTCTATCTGTAAATACTCTGTGATACTCTTTTCTTTTTCTTTAGCAGAGCTAAAATGACAGCAGGTTATAAACTCAAAATGACAGCGTCCACTAGAGTCCGTAGATATTTAAAAGATATACAAAAAAAATACTGGTCTTGCTAATATAACTTCATTTCCCATGGTACATTGCGAACTTTTCAGCCTCTGCTAAAGAAAAGACAGGAAAAACAGCGGTCACAATTTCATAAAATTTGAGAAACATTTAAACCAGCATTGCGTGCATCTCAGTCTTTCTTCGTGCTGTAGATTATTTGAGGGTTTTTTTTTTTTTATTAATCTCCAGTTTTATCTTGTTTTCCCGTATCGTTTAAACAAGGGAAATTACTACATTTTCTATAAGATCATCTGTTTAATGGACGATCTTTGTCAATGTCGCCGCTCGTGCTTGGTGTTTCTACAGGCAGTGAGTCATCTGGTTAATTGACGATCTTTGTCAATGTGGCCGCTCGTGCTGTGTGTTTCTGCAGGCAGTGAGTCATCTGGTTAATGGACGATCTTCGTTAGTGTAGCCGTTCGCGCTGAGTGTTTCTGCAGGCAGTGAGTCATCTGGTTAATGGACGGTCTTTGTCAGTGTGGCTGCTCGCGCTGTGTGTTTCTGCTGGCAGTGAAAATCCCGCTGGTCGCTCCAGTGCAAAGATGACTTGACCACAGAACCAGGTCTGACCGACGCGGTTCTTCCGAACAGGTAAGGTCCGCCATTTTTACGCTGTCTTTGGAATATTAACATTGTTTTTCCATTAGAGCTAAACATTAAACAAAAGCAGGGTTTCAGGCAGCTAATGCTTAGCTAACCTGCTAATGTAATATAACAATAACCAGATGGAGGAATGTTTGGTTAACAGGATCACACATTTACAATTTAGAAGGTTCTTTAAGGTCTCTGTATTAATTTAAACCATTGAGAGACAGAAACATATTCTCTACAAGGCAGTGTTTGTTTTTGCTTTACACAGAAATGCAATGTGATTTTGACAAATGACAGAAAATGATCTCCTCATCAGCCACCCACAATAATAATAATAATAATAATATTAAAAAATCACCTGTAAAACAGCTGTTTTAATAAACATTAAATATCTTCATGTTAATAAATGTGGAGCCCCCTTTAACAGGTGTAATGATGATGTTGACTCTGGAGTTTACAAGAGCTACAGGTTAGATCCCATCATGCAGAGCTGTTTTGCCAACAGAAGTCAGTATTAGAGTGATTAAATGAAGATTTAATGTTTGGAAAATCTGGATTTTTTCCCCCATCAATCCTCTTGTTGGCCTTCCATGACTTCAGTTCATCCACTTTTGTTGCTAGATTTTTACTCACAGCTGATTGTGTAACACCACTAACCTTCAAACATCTAGTTTGTTATATTTTAATTGTTTGTTGTGAAATATTTCTTCCACAAACACCCTCACATTTTGAAGTTATTTACCCTTTACATTAAGGTCACGCCCCAGAGGGGATGTTTAAAATAAAAGCTCATTTTTAAGGAATGTAATTTGTAATTTTCTAATGAAACTTAACAAAATTGGACAATGGATTTTTAGGAATTATTGCCCAGCCCTGGTTCACTGGTCTAGGGGGGAAAAAACAGAAAAGTTACTAACCTGGTAGGTCATTTGTAGGTATGGAGGTGTTTTGTCACCAAATTGAGTCCAATAATATGAAGTTATGAACATGTTTTGAAACTGGAATGTAAAACCTGATAAAATGTGAAAAAAAAGTTGCATGTTCTTTTCTGGAACAATATGGAACAAAATTCCATCCATAAAAATGGCAGTCATGTGATTGTCAACTGGATGAATGTCTGAACAATTAGTAGTGATGTTACATAGCAGCCGTCTCATCCGTCAGCAGCCACGCCTCTCTGCCCCGTCACCTCAACATGGAAACTTTATAACTGAGCTCACATGCTTTGACTAAACGTTAACGATTTCAAAACATTTAAAGTCCATTAAATTGAGATTCTAAGCTGCGGTTTTATGACGTCATCAGAAGAATCAAATAAAGCAGAAACGACCCCCTTCCCATTACTGCTGATCTGAACAGTTCACCTAACAACGTTATTATGCTAATACTACTTTAAAAGCTGATGTAGAACATCTGTTCAGCAGCTGGCTCAGGCCGGCTAACCCAGCAGATAGCCCAGCTAACGTTTCCTCTTTAGAAGCTGAATGATAAAATCATTTAATCTGAGTTTCCTGCTTTAACTACAGTATTATTTATCTTCTTCTGTAAATTAGTTATTATGGATTTGAAAAGAATGTCATTCATAGCGCTCTCAAAGAAACTTGGAAAAAAAAAATTAATAAAATGTTTTCAAAATAGAATTTAGGAAAAATAAAATCTAATAAAGTAGTTAACTATAAAATATTGGTTTACTTTATTCATAAATGCTATAAACATCACTAAAAACCTTTTTTCTTAAGATGTTTTTCATTTTTAATTTTTTGAAAATAATTTTCTTTAAATTTACCTTTTTTTTAAATAGTTCTTTCTTTTTAACAAAAAAAATTAGAACATGTTTTAAAAAGGACATTTTGAAGACAATTTGTTTGAAAAGTATGGAAAACTTGTTTTTCAGAGTAATTTATAGCTTTTATTCAAATAAATCAACCACTATTCTTATGATTTGCAATGATTTCAGATTAAATTTTTCTGAGAAAAAAATGTTCAAATTTATTTCCCTTTTTTCCCCCAATTTTTATTTTTGACGTTTTTGGGGGGGAAATTTGACATTTTCCATTCTTTTCCTTTCCCCCTCTCCACCTCTGGGCGGTCTGTGTGCGTGGACCAATAGAAACACTGTTGCTAACGTTCTTTCAGGGCAGACTTTTCTTCTATTGGTTCCGTGCACAGACCAATAGAAATGCTGATCCACTCAGAAATACAGAGGTGGAAATCTGAAAACAATGGATTCAATAAACTGTCTAGGAAAAAATATAAAGTCTGAAAAGTATCTAAATATCAGTTAGTAAAAAATCTGAAATAAAGCAAACAGTAAAAATGTTCGTTTAAGTTTTTCTTCACACTTCTTTAACAGACATGTTCTTTGCTTTCAATAATATGGGAACAGATTTCTCTCCATAATCCATGGAGGCAGATCTGTTCAGTCTGATAAATTTAAGTTGGATAAAAAAATTCCCTTATAACTTTTTGGTCTTTGATTTATTAAATCTGGTCAGTTGGAAACTTTACAGTCTATTTATTTCCAGGATGGAATCTGTCCTGTAAAACCATCTGATGTTTTATAACTTCCTTTTCTGACATTAATGGATCATTATTTATATTTAAAACTAATACGTTTGCGGTGATTTAATAAATTTAACGTTAATCAGTAAAAAATAAAATCATAATTTTCTTTGCCATCACTGAGTCTGGGAGCGGCCATTTTTGCCCAAATATAGTAGCCCCTCCCTCCTGCCATCTTCCAGCAGTGACGTCACGGTGCGGTAAGCCTAGCGCCATTCTCCCCGCTTTACAAGCTAAATCAATGGGAACTACTAGACACATCTGCAATCAACAACAATTATTGAAGATTTCCAGAGGAATTCACCATTGAAATTCACCAGAGCTATAGTGAAACTGACAATGCCCACGTGCATGGCAGCTGGATGCTGGAATACATCGGATTAAAGTGGAAAAAAATACTTATTTCACCTTTCTGATTCCTGATCCTCCACGGACGGGTTGGTCGTTGGATCGCCAACTTGAAGAGGGAGGATTTGCCATCGAACTTCTGGCCAGAGAAAAAACCCGTAATATGTAGCCAACATTTGGAAGAAGAATGTTTTCAAGATGACTTGGATAATAGCGCGTTGTGACAAACACCAGATACAGCACTGGGACCTGATCAACAGCCGATACCGCACCGTGACGTCACAAACCAGTAGGTGGCAGTAGAGTTCTTTGACAAACATGGATGCCTCCAGTAAAGAACATTCACATGAAAATTACTCTGAAATAAAAACACTGATCATTTATTAAACAGGATGGAATAATTTGATATTTTAAGAACTTTCAGATATTTGTATTCTAAATATGAGCAGACTTTTCCTTTAAACTAACCTCTAGTTTGGGATATTCATGTGTTCATTCATGAGCATCATACCTGATTAGAGGATCGATGGCGGCCCTGAAAAGATCAGCAGTGATGAGAACATGGAAGCTAACGGCTCTGCTATCAGGAACGCATCAGGATCTGCATGAATCTGAAGTCAAATGAAGCAGTGAATATTGGTTTGTTGACATCATCATCATCATCATCATCATCATCATCCCAATCCCCAGTTCTGCACTGATCAACCTCCGGCCTGGAAAAACAAAACACCAACATGTTTGATGGACTAAATATGCATGAAGCTGTTGGACCTGAGTGCTGCTGATGATGATGATGATGATGATGATGGTGGTGGAGGTCCTGTGGGTGTGAGCAGTACTCTGTCTAATGAAACGTTGCCTCAGGATCACGTTGCGGCGTCGGGCTCTCTACCTCCAGCTTCTCCCCTCCTAAATTCCTGGAACTTTTCCTGATGCACATCCGGCTGCGCTGTGAATTATTAAAGCAGAGGTGGGTTCGGTTTGTCAGGGGCTGACCTGACAGCCCGTCTCTGGTAGCTCAGAGTGACGGCTGCTCTCTGTAGAGGCTTGATGCTCTCTAGGAAAGGTCAGACTCTCCTTCGTTCCCACGCTGCCCTCTGAGGAAGACCATGGGCGACTCTTCGGCCGTCTGGCTGCAGGGCGACGAGCTGCTGTTTCTGGCCGCCTGTGTTTCTCACTGCTGGTCTCTGTGTCTGTGTGTCTGCATGTTCCTGGAAGGCAGAGCGACCCGGAGGCGAGCGGGCGGCGGTGGCATGCGACTGGGCAGTAGCAGCTGGAGCTGGCAGCTCTCCCGGGCCATGAGACTGGCGCTGCGCTGGTGCCGCCTGCGGAAAGCCGGTCGGGGTGGAGGCCAGCTGTCGGAGCTGTGGAGCTACAGCAAACTGCTGCTTCGCTCCCTGTTTTCCAACAGCCTGAGCGACTCGGACACGCTGCTGGACTGCGTGTTTGAGCCGGTGTACTGGATCGTGGACAACGTGACCCGTTGGTTTGGAGTGGTGAGCCCTCCGTTCCTCCTGGTTTCTGTACCCAGAACCTTTCTGCTGGTTCTCCTGACCTCCTCCTTCCCTCCTCCAGGTGTTTGTGTGCCTAGTGGTCCTACTGACGTCCTCTGTGGTGATCATCGTCTACCTGTTTGTCCTGCCGACCATCTTAACCACTTACCCGGTGCACTGGATCGCCTGGCATCTCTGCTGCGGCCACTGGCTCCTCCTGCTGGTGGTCTTCCATTACTACAAGGCCACCACCACCTCCCCTGGGCACCCCCCTAAGGTACAGCAGCATAAATAAAGCCCCTCTAAGGTATCAAAGACTTTAAATTTGTGTCCATTACTCTGTCTATTTCAGGAAAAGCGGGACGCTCCCTCCGTTTCCATCTGTAAGAAATGCATCACACCCAAACCGCCGAGGACTCATCACTGCAGCATCTGCAGCGTGTAAGTTCTCCACCTCACTGGAACCGGGTCGCCTCGTCTCCTCGTGCACCAAAAAATAGAAATCTAAATACCGTATATTCTGGATTATAAGTCGCTCCGCAGTACAAATTGCATTTTTGGGGGAAACTTATTTGATAAAACTCGACACCAAGAACAGACATGTCATCTTTAAAGGCAATTTAAAATAAGAATTGTATAGAAGCAACAGCAGGCTGAATAATTGTACGGTAAAAAAATCACAATCCACTGGACTTTGTTTCCAAGTTTGAAGACGTTTCGTTTCCCATCCAAGAAGGTTTTTCAATTCTAAATGTCAGAAACAGCGTTGAGTTCGAAGCTGTATACAGTAGCCCAACAAAGCCTTGTTTTTGACGATACAGAGTAGCGCCATCTCTCTGTAGAGCTGAGTCCCAGATCGCATCAGAGCGTCGATCGCACAGTATGAGAACAAACATGGTTTCCACGATTTCACACTGTACGATTTCCTCGTACAGTTTGAGCTGTTTGAAAATATCGTATCGGCTTAATCTGCAGAATATGATTTTCTTTTCGGTGCCATTTTTTTTAAGCTCTTCTCAGTGGTTTTTTTATGAGTTAACACCAATGTTGAAATGATCAACATAGACCTACAACGCCCTCTGGTGGTTGATTGTGAAAATAACATTTGAAATTATATACCGGTAGTAACCAGTCGCACCCCGTTTAAACTATTAAAAAAACTGGGACCTACAGTCCAGAAAATATGGTAAGTCATTTTTTTTCTTAAAATAAGTGCACTTTGTTTTGAATTGCGGAAGAAAGTGAGACTCTTTGCCAATCGAACAAGGCAATTTGCATTTAAAATAAGAACAATTTCAATTGTATAATATCTAATAATATTATTTTAAGAGTAAAGATACTCACTCCATAGGCAAATTATCTGATTTATACAATTTTTAAACATGTTTCTAGATTGTTTTTGCAGTGTGGAGCCGTTAGTAAGGAGTTCCTCCTTTGTCTTCCAGGTGCGTCCTGAAGATGGACCATCACTGCCGTATCCTTTCCAGCTTTGGTTGAAATCATTTCCTGCTTTTTTATTTTTTAACACGTTTGAACTGAACATATTTCCAGCGTGGTTGAACAACTGTGTGGGTCACCTGAACCATCGCTACTTCTTCTCCTTCTGCCTCTACATGACCCTGGGCTGCATCTACTGCAGCATCAGCAGCAGAGATCTGTTCCTGGAGGCGTACGACGCCATAGAGGTGAGGCTGATTCAGGCAGGGCAATAATTCAATAACGATATATATCAATCTATAGACGCGTGGCGCAATAGAAAAAAAGAGGGTTGATAAAAGTTCGATTAAAAAAATATATTTATTTTGGTCACTTTAGTTTATTCTTTGTCAGTATTTAATAACAACTCAGGTCTCTAAGTTATTTTTCTTTAAAATAATTCTGTTATGGTTAAAAAAGTTGGTTAAATAAAGATTTAATTGGAAGTCTGTGTTTGTGTTCTTTATTAAAATTAAATCTTTTAGCAATATCATAAAATGTCCAGGCAGAGCTGCACATAAAATATGGTTTCAAATCTTTTCAATAATTATCGATATCAATCAATATGCATTTTTTTTTATCGATAAGCTTTTTTTCTATATCATCCAGCCCTAGGCTGCAGCTTGAACCAATGAACAGCTGGTTCAGGAGGGGTTCAGACTACATGCAAAGGTTGGTGTAGCTGTAGAGGATGGTGAGCTCTGCTCCTGCTGTGGTTCAGTTTACTGACATGACTTCAGCAGCAGCAGTGAGGTGGAAGTAAGACGTTAGAGCAGGAGATCAGATGGAGGCCAAAGATAGAAACAGGACACCTGAAAACCATCCTCTCTTTTATATTTACATCTAATTAAGGATGTGGAAAGTGCACCAGCTTTTGGGGGGGTGGGGGCTTTCAGCTGATTAAAGAAGTTCTTCTGCACGTCTGATTTGGAAGCCTTGGTCTCTCAGTAGTGGGGAGCCTTTGGGCCACTGTCACACCTTGACGAACTTATGTCCAACGACAGCCTAACTTCTGCATAAAGAACGGCAGTTAAAGCTGCTCAGAGGCGCCCAGTCTGCATAAAAGATGTCTTTGATCGCAGTATTAACCTAGCTGCTGTTTACCGCCCACCAAAAAAAAAAATAAAATAAATAAAGAAGGTTTTTGGTGTCAGCAGATTGAGCGTCATGTCTGCTAGGAAGTTTGTTGGTGGTGGGCGTGAATGCAGGGAGGATCCATCCTCACCTTCTGGCTCACCCTATGATGGGGATGAAGTCTGGAGGAGAACTGATGGTTTCCTCCTTTATACCAAAACGCTGCCAATACGCCATTATACAGTAGCTGGAAGTTAGAAACACGTTCAGCGCTCGTCTGGAACATGTCAGATACGTTGATATGCGTTGGAGAGAAGTTCTTGATAAGTTACGCAGAAGTTATGCACAAGTTACTCAGAGGTTTAGGATAAGCTAGACGCCACGACTGATGAGGAACTGACACCGAATATACATCAACCATCAGATAACTGACCTGGAACTGATGGTCCACGTATGTCCTACGCCGGCCTACATCAGGAAATGCTAAAAATTTCTCGACTACTTCAGCGTGCTCATAACTTACACAAAACTGACCCATAACTTATCCAACGTATTCCTGCGTTTCTGCCTGATTTTTCTTACGTCAGTTATAAGCTGGTCTAAATCCTCAAGGTTTAGGACTTTATCAGCTTCTGAAGCTTAATGTCAGTTTGACGATGTAACAGCATCTTCTCTCCGACTCAGACATCCTTCCAGACTCCTCCTCCTCCACATCACAGCCAAAACGAAAGCGTTTCTCAGAAGTGCATCATCTTCCTCTGGGTTCTGACCAGGTGAGTAACTCTGCTCTGAACCGTGGAGACGAGGCAGCGATCTCAGCTCTGTGACTCGTTTCCTGTCCGTTCTGGTCCTGCAGCTCGGTCGCCGTGGCTCTTGGAGGACTCACCCTGTGGCACGCCAGGCTGATCGGCAGAGGAGAGACCAGCGTGGAGCGCCACATCAACCGCAAGGAGGCCAGAAGGCTGCGGGAGCAGGGGAAGGTAGGAAGGTTTACAGCTCAGTCAGGCTGCTTTCACTGAGAAGGTTCAAGTGTTCTGACTCCAACATCTTTTCTCTGATTGTTTCCATCAGCAATGTTCTCCTTTTAAATGATCTTCTCTCATTGCAGGTTTTCAGAAATCCGTACCATCATGGCCGACTCAACAACTGGAAATTATTCTTTGGAGTCGAATCGAGGAGGTGAGACGGACTCAAGGAAGGGAAGGACAAAAAGAATTAATGAAGAAGGGAATTATAACATATTATTAGAAGATTTTTCTGCATTGAATAATCATTTTCATCATCTCAGTTTAAAACTAACTTTTGGTTGAACAAATTCAAATTGATGGAAAATCATTAGTTTAATATATAAAATGGCACCGAAATGAAAAACGTTGGAAAGGAATGTTTGAATGGGTTTCAATCTGCTGACCTCACGTTGTGAGACTTTAAAGATGGCCGCTGCACATCCTGCCTGGCGGGCTGTTTCTGGGTGGGTTTGATTTCAGTGGCTGCGTCCTCCGAGGAGCCGGTCTATCTGGACTGGATAAGGAGGCTGGAAGAGTTTTTGCTGCCAATTCAAACAAGTTCAAACCTTCTGCGGCTTTTTACCGCCGTAAGTCTCCTAGCAACCATGGGAGTTTACACACAAAGCAGGAAAATAATGAATAATGAACTTCTCATTGTTCTGGATGCTACTAAAATTTCAGAGAAGCTTAAACAGCTGCACCGTTTCAGATTTATAGCCTCCAAAACTGCAGATATATTAGAATCTGTCCTTAAATATCAGCCAAAGCCATTTATCCAGTAACAGAAAAAAAACTTTCAATAAACCAAACATTATCCACCACATATCTGAACCAATAACCTTATAAAATATGGAGCTAGATCGGTTTCAATTTTCACAAACCTTTGCGATTCATACATGCATTTTTTTAAAAAGGGGATGTTTGCAACCAATCACCGAGCTCCCTTGTATAAGCCAATCACACGCATATTTGTAAAAATCAAGACCGATTTAGCTCCATATTAAAACAACTATTTTCAGTCATTTCAGATGGAACTATTCACATCATATTAAACTGCACTTCCGATATTCACCACTGTTCGGCGCCATTTTCCTTTTTCCTCTGAGCACGGAGCAGCCGGCTTGCTTGTACTCGCAATGAATCATGGGATACCCAAGGCTATGTAGGATACAGCGGACCTGGCCTTCAAAACGGGCAAAAAGAAGGATGCATTAGTAGGCCGCATAACGAGGAATCTTGTAACCCGAACAGGCCTCAGCGCCGCATTATGACATAATCGGCCTACGAATCTGGCCTATAAAGGATGCGTCCCATGAATTCAAACTCAGCATCCGTCACACTGCATTTTGAAAGTCTCTCTTTATCATTTAAACATGTTTAATCTTCTGCTTCCTGTCGCTCCTCAGTCACTGGATCACCCGGGTCCTCCTGCCCTCCAGCCATCCTCCCAGTGGAGACGGCATCCTGTGGGACCACACCTTCTCCAGAAGCGACCTTTTGGCCATCTGAGCTTCCTCCCTCCTTACAGGCCGACGCCTGTTTTAATCCTGCTACTTGAAAACATCCAACAGTGAAGAAGAATCTGAAGGATGCTGGGTTCTAACTCGCTGGTTATGGACCAGTAGTCATCCTGCCCCCCACTGGATAGGCGGTTCTGCTGGCCACCATCTTGGAGATGACCTGCAGCATCATGGCGGTCTGCTCCAACAGGGTGCAGACCTTTCACCTGTGGGATTTAAACCTGAAATGTTTTATTTGCTGCAGCTGGGAGCTGATCGTTGATTCTATGGAGTAAAATATGTGCCAAAGAACGCATTTTGTAAATGGAAATATGTGAAAAAAGCACTCCAGAGATTAAATTTTGAAAAATATTTTAATCAAAAAAAATTTGAGGGTAGTTAAACTACTAAGTTCTCAGATTTTTTTTTTTTCGTTTTTAAGTTTATTTTTACAATTTACATTCTTTTCAAACTGCATTTTACATTCTATTTGCTTTTGACCAACAGAAATGGCGTTGCACCACATTTTAAAATATAGAAATAAAACAAACATTTGAAAAAATGAAATTAGTTTAAAAAGAGTGGAAAAATATACTTTTTTTAAAAAATGAAAACGTTTTTAAAATGTAATTTCTAGACTGCATTTTTCCACATTTTCCTTTACAGAAGGTTTTCTTTGCAACAATACTGGAACAAAAGTCACTCCGTTTTTTTAGTTTAGTGATGCACGTCTTCGTTTTAATATTTAGGTTTACAGTTGATCTACTGTTTTGTGTTTTCAGGGGAAAAATTTAAACACTTCAGGTGCCAAAGGAAAAAAAAAGCTTATCATTTCAGCGGTTTAGAACTCGTCCATCCTGTCCTTTCTTTAAATCCCTTTAAGCGCTTTTTAAAGCTCATTTAGCCTATAGTCTATTTAAATTAGGAAAAACTGTGAAAAACTTCAAATTAAAATCTCTCATTTTTTCTATCGGTAAGTTTTTAAAAATGAGCTGGATTTAAATTTGCCTTAGAAATATGAAAACGGATTCCGATGTAATCAGAAGGGAGCTGGGCTCCATTCTGTCTGTTTTAATAAATCGTTTAAAAAAAAAAAATACATTTCTGGTCTCCATTTTTTTTATTTGGAATTGAAGAAGAAATGCATTTAGATTAAACCTTAAAAATGTATATCCTCTGAAGTTGAACATGCTCTACTAAAACTGATCTGAAAATATAAAAAATTTCTTTGTTTTGTAATGCGCTGCCACTTAAATGAATATATTAACCATTAAAGGATTATTAAATATGAACATTAATATAATAGCTATTTTATTTTGAATGTAAATTATCTTATTCATTGACATTTATTTCTCAAATCGAGGTAAACTCATTTCCACTACCAATAAAATCAAACCATTAGATATTTTATCTGGTTATGAGATAATATCCCATAATACTAACATAGCTGCATCATTATTATGACAGAGTATTTATGATTGAGGTAGTATCTCTTAATAATCCTTATAATGAGCTAAGTCAAATTAATAACAGAATCTTATAATTAACAGATAATTAAAGCTATCTTGGATATCTTGAAGCTAAACTAGTTTTAAGATAAGTTTGTTTTTTTTTCTAATTAGTGGCCAAAATGGCCTTCTACGCATAAAGAACTACTTGATTTTATTAAAAAATGTTCAGCATTTCTAAATACTGAATGAACTTAATGTGTTGGGCGGCCAATAAATCATTCAGCAGGGATGGAGAAACTATCCACCCACGCTCTATCCCAGCCATCTACAGGTGAGAGGCGGGGTCTATCCATCGCAGGGCAACACAGAGACCCACAACCATTCATACACACACTCATCCAAGGAGAATATAAGAAGCCAATTACCCTAACAGTCAAGTTTATGGACTGTGGGAGGAAGCCGGAGTACCCAGAGAGAACCCAGGCATGCTCAGGGAGAATACGCATGCAGAAAGACCCCAGGCCAGGAACCCGGAACCGTCTTGCTGCAAACTAGCAGTGCTACCCACTGAGCAGCCTATGGAGAAACCAGCTGGAGGCTAATCCATGTTAAAGATGGTAATGGCCTAAACACATCAGCTTTGCACAATTTTTTAAATCTCGATCCGATTTTTTTTCCATGTCACACTGACTGCATATAGAGGCTCCGACTAGGCAGGGTGAGCAGATTATTTCCACTTCTGTCTCTGTTCTATACACACATTAAAACTATTTCACACATTTGACTGGAACACATTATGAAGTGATAAAAATAAAAAAAAACACTGGCTCATTCTATAAAGCAAAGCTTTACTTAATGAGTCTTTGCAGCATCTAGAAACCAGAACAGATAGAATGTTCATCAATTAAAAACAAACAGATCTATGTCTAAAGAGAATAAAATCACAGCAATAAACGGTTTCTATGGTGATTCTCAGAGAGAGATCTGTGAAGTTTATCCAAGTTTTTCTTTCTTTTTTCCATAAAGAGGTGAGAGAGATACGCTGCGCTGCCCTGCTCTGTCTGCTCCTCCTTATTCTGGTTTCTGTGAGGCTAAAGGGGATCACTGTTTTATCCGTTTTCTGTCCTCCTGAACTCCCATCATGGGGAAAGTTTTCTATTTTAATGTTTCATTCATTGTTTCCCCAAACTGACTGTTTCCCCATTAGATTAACTGATTTTAATTATTTACCTCCAAAGCGGATGTGTTTTACTTTTGTAACAGCGTCTCTTTTTCTGTCAGACCCATGAAATTGCTGCTAATTGCTGCACAGCTCAGACTGAAATAGACCTGGGCTCTATCTCAGTCGGAGCCACGCTGCCCCCTGCAGGAAATCCTCCCCACTGACTTTCAATCTAAACGCTACGACTTCATCCGACACGATTTTCTGTCGGATCGCACGCAAAATCGGATTCAGTGTGTTCTGGCCTCAGCTCTTCACTTTAGACCAAAGTGGGCGGGGCTAACACCCCAACCTGCACCAGAGGTGCCCATCTGCTCAATCATCAGGATTAGTGACACTAAATGGCCTAATTAAAGTCTAAAGTTAAATCTGGACGGGAATCTTTGTGAAAAATAAATCTTAATCTAATCTGAGGTTAAACTAATCTGCAATGTTTTCCTTGATGTCGCCGTCGATCATACTTCAGCTTTAACTCACTGAGGCCAGCCTGCAAAATTTAAAAAAGGAAAACAGTCTGCAGCTACAGGACCTTTATGGTTTAGACCAGCGTATGCCTGACGAACAGAAAAACTGGCACAAACGTTGGTATACGTTGGATAAGTTATGAGCTGAAACATGTTGAAACACGTTGATATACGGCAAGTAGGTCGATTCGGTAGGTTCCAGCATCTGCCATCCATGGGCCATCCGTTCTAGGTCAGTTATCTGATGGTTGACAGACGTTCAGTGTCAGTTACTCATCAGTCGTGGCGTCTAGCTTATCCATAACTTCTGCGTAACTTATCAGGAACCTCTCTCCAAGCATATCAGCGTATCTGACGTGTTCCAGACGAGCGCTGAACGTGTTTCTAACTTCCAGCTACTGTATATTGGCGTATTGGCAGCGTTTTGGTATAAAACGAGGAGGAAACCATCAGTTCTCCTCCAGACTTCATCCCCATCATAGGGTGAGCCAGAAGGTGAGGGTGATGGATCCTCCCTGCGTTCACGCCCACCACCAACAAACTTCCTAGCAGACATGATACTCAATGTGCTGACACCAAAAACCTTTTCTTTTTATTTATTCTGTTATTCTGCGGTAACGCTGCAGTGATGCGCCAGAGGAGAGCAGCTTTAACTGATGCTTCGTAATGCCTATGGGCATTATGCTGCCGTGCGTTATGCAGAAGTTAGGCTGTCGTTGGACAGAAGTTCTGGAGTCGTTTTTAATACACAACGTAAGCGCAGAAAATTGAAAAAAATACATATAAAGTTCAGTGTTTTAGGAGATTCTGGGATGTTGGGCATACGCTGGATAAATCGGCCCAATTTGACAGCGCCCTTAGAGGCTTCACTCAGACACTTGGTGGGACTGAAGCTTCTGAAATCAGAATCGACATATCAGGAAATTTGGATTGTTTTATTGCTTTTTATTAAATAAAAAAAAACATTTTCCACTGTGTCTCCAGCAGATGAATGGATGTGTAACGGATGAGCTAACGGCTAACAGACACAGGCGGTTTGGGCGGTTCTGTGCAGTCAGTAATGACCCGTGGTTCTGTGACGGACCGTGGGGTTCTGTCCCATTCCAGAATGATTCCCACTGATCCCGGAGCTTCGGATTCGCTGTGAACGCCGCATTCAGAGATCACCTTCCTCCTGGGCTTCCCAACAGGAACCTGGAAGGACAGCAGCTCCAAGTCAGACACACTCCACTAACGTGTCCTTCAGACACAGCAGGGGGCGGAGCTTACCACTCTCCTCTGGCCTGGACCGCCTCCCTCCTCACCAGCCTCTTCCTGTCGTCCAGAGGCGGAGCCAGCGCTCGCAGCACGCGCGCTCGGAACGGCAACACCTCCAACACACAGAGAAGAGACGCATTCAAATATCAGCAGCAGACGTTTCAGCCAAACAAGAATGAACTCGACCAGAGACGCCATGATGGAATTATTCAGCTTGATCTATACTTAGAAAATAATGTCAATTCTTTCAATTTATTGGTTTAAAAGTTATTTTTAGATGTTTATTTAATAATTTTCATATATTTCTAATTATTCAATTTTACAATTTAATGGAATATTACTTTATATGAAAATCCTGTTTTAAAGCAGGGGTTTCCAAAGTGGGGGTCTTTGGAAATGAATGTTTTATTTCTTATACAAATAGTGTAAAAAAAAAAAAAAAAAAAAAAAAAAAGTTGGACTTAAAGGAAAGTTAATGTGCTCAGAAACTAATCTCTCTAAAAGAGCAAAAAAAAACACAACTTTTTTTATCCTTATTTTACAAACCAGCGTCTTTTCAGTCCCATCAGTTTGCTACGCATTCAGTAACGACTGAAATTACCGCTTTAAATACAAACAATGTGACACAAAAATCTAAATATTATTTAGAGAACTAAACTAAATTAGTCTTTATGTTTAAGAAGAAAATCATAACTTATAAAAATCCCCAAAAAACTGGCCACCACACTATTAAAAGAAAATAAATCAAAAAATCATCTGCGCTCAACCATAGCGGATGTATGGAGTGAATGTTGTTACATTATTGTTGCAGCAAAGAACGTTTTGAAAAAGGAAATTTGAAAAACATTTTGATCAAAAACTTTTTTGGAGTAATTTTGCAGTTTTTTTTTATTTTGTGGATGGAATTTTTCATAAACATTAATTTTTTTTCTCGGTTTGAGCTTTACAAATTGTATTTTTTTTTTATTAAGTTTTTCAGATCACATTCTCTTCACATATCAGCCTAATCCAAACCCTCGCTCTTGACCAATTA